ATATCTCCCTGCCACCCAGCAAATGAAGGGCTTTCCTGAGCACCAACTACACACTGGCCCCCAGGCAGACCCCACCCCTGCCCGCTAGGGACTTTTGGTGTCCCTGGGGTAAGCAGACACATTTAAGCTGACTGGAAGCTGCGTTGTGCAGAACCCCCATGACCCGTCTGGTGGGTGGGGGTGGAGGCTTCATGCGGATTTGCACTAAGTGGGTGGATCTGCCTGAGGAATCAGAATAGTGGGATGACTGTGGACCCCAAGATGTTTGTCTGACTTTACAAATGGGTCTATGATCCATTTAAAAAATATATATTTTATTGATTTTTTTTTTTTTTTTTTTTTACAGAGAGGAAGGGAGAGGGATTGAGAGTTAGAAATAACGATGAGAGAAACCTCAATCAGTTGCCTCCTATATATTCCCCACTGGGGATGTGCCCGCAACCAAGTTACATGCCCTTGACTGGAATCGAATCTGGGACCCTTGAGTCCGCAGGCTGACACTCTATCCAAACTGGTTAGTGCTCTATGATCCATTTTTAATATTTATTTTAATTTTTTGGTGTAAAATATACTCAACAATATTGATCATGTTAACCACCATGGAATGTGCAGCTCAGTCGCATTGGGTGCGCTCACACTGTGGTAGTCCATCCACAGAACCCTTCATCCTCCAAAACTGAAACTCCACACCCATGAGAAACTCCGTTTCTCTCTCCCCAGTTCCTGGCAACCACCATTCTACTTCCTGTCTCTATGAACCTGACTCCTCTAAGTTCATCATCTGAGTGGAAGCATGCGGTATTTGTCCTTTTGTGACTGGCTTATTTCACTTATCCTAATGGCCTTCAGTTGCATCAGAACTTTCTTCCTTTTAAAATTTGAATAAAATGTTCCATTTAAAAAAAAAAAAGCTTTACTAAAATATAACTCGCACACCATACCATTTATTCATTTCTCAGTGTATAAATCGATGTGAGTTTTTTGTTGTTGTCTTTTGTATATGCAGTTATGCAGCCATCACCACAATTTAATTTTAGAACGTTTTCAACAACCCCCCAAAAATAACCCTACACATTAACAGTTTCTCCACATCCGCCTCTACCACAACCGTGGCCAACCACTAAGCTACTTTCCATCTCTATAGAGTTGCCTGTTTGTTTTCTATAAGTGAAATCACACGATATGTTGTGGCTGTATAAGAAGAGGAAATCTGGGCTCACAAAGAGACAAGAGGATGGTGCACGCAGAGGAAAGACCATGTGAGGACGGTGAGAAGGTGGCCATCTGCAAGCCAAGGAGAGAGGCTTCCAAATGAAACCAAACCTGCCTTCCCCTTGACCTTGGTCTTCCAGCCTCCAGAGCTGTGAGAAAATAAATGTCTATTGTTTATACCACCCTGTCTTTGCTACGGCAGCCCTACCAGTTAACGCAGTATTGTTATTGGGTTGAATTCACCAGTGAAGGCATCCAGACCTGGAGTTCATTTATGAGAAGGTTTTAAGCTACTATTAAACATTAATTTTCTTTAATAGATATAGGCTATTTCCAGTTGAGTGAGTTTGTGGCTTTCAAGGAAATTGACTATTCCATCTTAGTGGTATTGTCTTACATCCATTTTAATACAGAAAATTACAGGTTTAATAAAAATAAAACCATCAGCTATTCCACTGCCTAAAAAGAACCATTACTAATGTTTTGCTCTATATCCTTCTGATAATTTTCATACATATGCATGCCAACCCTCTCCTTCCTCCCCCTGCCCCCTTTTGGTTTTTACAAAATTGCTATTACCCTTCATATCCAGGATTTTGTTTATTTGTATTCTCAACTCTTTAAAAACATTATGGATTAGGGATGGCTGATTAAGAACTTGCTTAACTAACCCCAACCTTAAGTTGCTCTTGGTTTTGGGGGTGCATCCTATAAAACACCACCGTCAGTATCTTTTTCATCTGTGCTGGCATCTTCGTTTACAGTTCCCCAAGTGGAAATACTGGGTGGACCAGTTTATTGACTTTGGGTACTGAGCACCCTGTGCTTGGTAGGGGGAGGGCAGGGAGAGAGAAGAGCTGATTCCCTCACTTCAGGGGCTTGCCCTCTGCAGACCAGCCCAACCAGCACAGCCAGTGGGAGTTGGAGAAACCTGGCAACAGGGCTGTTTGGAGGCCTGCAGGGGTCCCCGCCCTGGCGGTGGCCTCCTTGGCATAGATCCAAGTGTCTCTAGGTTACCTTCCGGTTGGAGGCTATCTTACCAACGTCCAGGTACGGACTGTATTGGCCTTACTTCTTAGTGCTTCTTCCTTCCGAGGCTGTGATATCATTATGAGCAAGGCTCACGCAAAATCGAAGCAAAGACCGAGCCAAGCTTTGTGCAGACAAGTGACGGCAGAGCCCAGCCTCCTCCCAGCACTCTCGGTCCTCAGGGAGCTCCCAGCCTGACAGGACCGGTCCTGTCCTCTGGGAATCCCCGGGCTTTGGAGGAAATCAAGTCCCCTGTGCCCCAGGGCGCCCGGTCTGAGTGAAGCGTCAAGATTCACACCCAGAATGTGCACGGGCACTATTGGAGGGATGTGTGAGCCAGTGGAAATGCACACCCGCCCCTGGGCCGCTGTGCGCCTGGGTGCAGTGGGGACTTCTTTCCTAGGACTTCTGGGAGGGAGAAGAGCCTGTATCCACGGAGAGGGCGTCGGGCAGAGGCAGGATGGGGGAGGGGAGAAGGGGTGCCCTGTGGGACAGGCTGGCCAGGTGGTGTGGTAGATTCCTAGGAAGGAGAGCCCCAGAGGTCCCTTCAGTCCCTCGTCACCCACTTAGGGGCAATGGGAGAGCAGGGCCAATGCGAAGGTGGGAGGTTACTTGGAGTTTTGATTTTCAAGAGTACTCTTCCCTCGCCCTGCCTTGTTCCCCTTCCCACCTCCCCAGTTCACCTCAAGACTGGAGACTGGTTTGGCTCAGTGAATAGAGTGTCATTCTATGGACTGTAAGGTCCCAGGTTCGATTGTGGTCAAGGGCACATCCCTGGGTTGTGGGCTTGATCCCCAGTGGGGGATGTGAAGGAGGCAGCCGATCGATGATTCTCTCTCATCCATTCACCTTCTTCTTTAAAATCAATAAGAATATATTTTTAAAAAACACTGGAGGAGGAGCCTGGGCTTAGCAGCAATCAGATCCTTCACTGGGTGCCTAGCCCATGCCCACCTGGCACAGCACCTGCCATCTATTCAACCATCCTCTCTGGGGGAGGCCGGTTACATCCAGTCCACAGCTGAGGCCACAGAGGCAGGGAGGGAACTATGCTGCTAGGGTCTCAGAGCCTAGCTGAGGGGGTGCTGCAGTCGGAGCCCCCTCAGTGGGACTATGTCATCTTCAAGGGGCTCCCCAGCTCCAGGCCCCTCTGCTCCTCTCCTGTCCATCTTTCCCACACGCATGCCGCCCTCTATCTAGGCTAGGGGCACATGGCACTGACTCACAGGCCACGGGGCTCTCCACTCGAAGCCCCCGAGCCTCCAAGGGCACCTCTGTGATGTCTGGAGACATTTTGGCTGTCGGACTTGGTGGGGAGGGCTCTCTGGCTGGATCTAGTGTGGGGTCAGGGATCTGCTCAGCCCGAGGAGCGTGGGGGCGCGTGCCCATGGTGAGGGTGGGAAGCCCTGCTCTGGGTCAGGCTTCCTGCCAGGTGCATGTGCCATGCCCTCTGTCTTAGCCAGATGTGGGCACCGACATGCTGCAGAGGCGGAGGGAAGCCCACCCACAGGCACCTCGCCACGAAGACAAAATTCCACTCCGTCTTTCTGAACTCTTGCTCAACTAGGCCTCGGCTTTTGGGCTTCCTTGTTTGCCTCTGTTTTGTCCAATTTTAGGAAGAATCCTGTTAACTCAGTTCAGCCAGAATCCCCATCCTCGATATCTGATCACCCCCAGTATCTATCTGATGGGGTTCCTCAGCCCCCTCCCTCCCTTCCCCCTCTCCCGCGTGATGTCTGACCTGCCTGCAGCCAGCATCCCCCTGACCCCTGATGTTTCCTCTCAGCATTTTCCACCCACTGACCTCCACCCTTCTCCTTGGCTATCAATTCTAATTTCTCCTTGTAGGAATTAAGTGAGACCCCATTGAAACGGGCCCTTTGAGTAAAGTCTGCCCCACTGTCCTGTAACAAGTGTCATTAAACAACTGTAACATCCTTTTCGGATGGGGTTAGAGAGGACTTCGGACTAATTTTTTTTTTTTTTTTCAGATGCAACGGGAGGGGCCACCTCCGGGCCAGGTGCACAAACCCCCACCCTCTGCAGGCCGGAGCACGGGGGTGGGGCCTGCACCAGGCAGCTGTGGGCGGGGTGGAGGTGGGGGTGGGAGGGAGGGGGCGGAGCCTCCTTTTTCTAGGCCATGTGTCGCCAGCCTCCTGCCCAGGGGCACTGCCCCGGCGTGATCCTGCCAGTGTAGGTGGCACTGAGAAGCTGGGGCCTCCTCCCCAGAGCCGTTGGAGCGGATCTCGGATATTTAGAGCCCTATGTCGCTGGCCCCCCCGAACCCTGAACATGGCGGAAGGGTTCAGGAAGACGGTGCTGGCTAGACACCCCTCTGCGTGGAGGGGCCCTGCTCTTACTGCCTCTTCTTCAAGGACCTCCAGGTAGGTGCCCGCTCCCTGGGGACAGAGCCCTCCGTGCAGAGCAGCGGGAATGGAGGTGGGGGACCTCTCCTTAAATCCATGTACCCGGAAGGAGAGCTCTGAGTCTCTGCATTGTCAGCACCAGAAGGGCCTTACGGACCATCATTCTAGAGTCCATCCTCATGAGGCAATCGCGGCCCAGAGAGGCTAAGAGGTCTATCGGAGGTCACACAGCATTTTAGAAGCAGAGCTGGAACTAGCATCCAAGGATCCAGGTCCCTTGGCTCTGAGTGCAAGACCCAGCCACCAAGCTGAGTCACATGACTTTCTGGTCCAAATATGGCAGGGGGTTGGTTCTGATCTGCAACAGCGATCCAACCCCATGGGGCAATGAGCCGACTCCTGCTCCAGGTGGGAGGGGAAAGACGCCTGGCGCCTCCCGGCTCCACCATTCTGGGGGCCGAGGCTTGGGAGGCGCAAGGCAGGCAGGAGGTGCTCCGCTCTTCCTGGAGCTGCTAATCACAGGGATGGGCAGCAGGAACCACGGCCTCCATGTCGCCAGGGTCAACAAGGGACAGCACTGAGGGCACCTGTAGTGATAATGAGGCCCAGGAGGGAGCAGCAGGCCTGGAATCGCAGGGAGGGGGAATGGCCCGACTCAGGATCTGGCTTCCGTCCCCTCTCAGATCCAGCCTGGCTTTGAAGTTCTTCACCGTCGCCATCCTGGTCAGCAGCAGTGAGTACAGGCTCCGGGCGATGCCTCCTTCACACCCACCCCCCCACCCCCCAGGCTTTCTCCCTGGACCTTGGGCCTCCTGCTTCTCCATCGGCATGACCTTGGGCCTGTCCTTTGTCTTTCTGGGCCGAGCGGGAAGCGGCTTCCCCCTCTCTCCGGGGCTGCTCCTTCCTCCTCCACGTGTAAACACGCACCACGAGCAGCTGGCATTTACAAGCCTCAGGAGGCAGGGCCCAGGGCTGAGCAAACATCGTAAAGTGGTGGCATTCGCTGGGCGTCTGGGCACCCCGGCAAGCCTGGGTGTTTGTGTGCACTGGAGGTGTGTTTGTGAACGTGAGTACGTGTAGACGGAAGCTAATGGTTTATGGGTGGACATACTCATGTGTCTCTGTGTGTGTAGGTGTGCCTGAGCATACGATGATGTCCCTGTGTGTACATATTTCAATAAATTGTGTGTGTGTGTGTGTGTGTATTCATTGAGTTATGTGTGTCTAGAGGGTGTATAAGAACGTAGGGGTGCATACACCTGTATGCGGTGTGTATGGAGCAGCGGTGTCTATGTGAGCATGTAGAAAGTTGATGAAACAGCCAAAGCTGGTTTGGCTCAGTGGTAGAGCGTCGGTCTGCGGACTGAGGGGTCCCAGGTTCGATTCCGGTCAGGGGCATATACATTGGTTGCGGGCACATCCCCGGTGGGGGGTGTGCAAGAGGCAGCTGGTCGATGTTTCTCTCTCATCGATGTTTCTAACTCTCTATCCATCTCTCTTCCTCTCTGTAAAAAAATCAATAAAATATATTTTTAAAAAAGATCATATGATAAACACTAAAATATAAAAATAAAAAAAAATAAAAAAAAGAAAGAAAGTTGATGAAACAGGTCAGGGACTTCTTACCCAGAGTGGTAATCCCAGCTGAAGGCCCTGACGCACACTGAACCCCCACACACCCAGGCGTTCCAGTGGCAGGTGCCTCGATGGAAGATGAACTGAACCTCTCAGTGGCTTTCCGTGCAGCCTGTTGCCCTCTCCCGGACACAGCCTACGTAAAGGAAAAGAAATGCCAGAAGCAAAATATGGCCGGACATGAGACGCGGCTGGGTGAATTCGGGCAAAGGGACCTGTTATTTGGAAAATAACCACTTGAGTTTCGCCCAAACCACTGGCCAGGGACAGAGCCTCCGGCCCCGCTGAACGCAGACTTTGTGTCTTGAACTTGGAGCGCAGACGTGACCTCGCTTCAGGCCGCGGATGCCACTCTGGGCGCTGCCTGTGGGAGCGTGTATTTGTGATGTGTGATGTGTATATGAGTGAGATGCATCAGCTGTGCCTGACGGTGTGAGGTATTTGTGGGTGAGTGTGCGTATGAGTGTTTCATTGACGACCAGGAGAGTGTGAATCAGTGTGTGAGGTGTGAGTGTATGAAGTATGTGTGAGTGTGTGTAGCAGTGTGCAGCGTTTAGAGGAGAGGATGAGGTGGGTGTGTCTGTCTGTGTGGGTCTGTGTGTGCTCAGCTTTTGTGTGCGGGTAACATCTGCACAGCTAGAGGCTGGGTGGGGCAGGAGGTCTGGGCTCTGGTTGGGAAGTGAGGGGGCCAGGACCTCACATACGAATCAGGGGCTCTGCACAGGGCACCCCGCGAGGGAATGCCATTGCTGGCTGTCGTCAGATTTAGGAATTGAGGTCAAAGAGGTTATGCAATCTGCTAGCAGCCTCACAGTGTTAAACCTGTTTGCAAACCCAGTCCATCCGACTCCCATGCTGCTTGACACACATTTTCCTCCGGCACCAAGAAGCCAGCAGAGCAGAGGGGAGGGTCGGGGGTGAAGGGCTAACCTTCTCAGACACCCCTCACCCCCGGCCTTTCAACAGTCATTGCTGCCCAATCTCTGTGCAGCTCGAGAGACAGGCTCAGGCCCACAGGGTGCAGGTCCTCTCTCTCCCTGTCCCGGGCCCCTGTGTAGACACTGATATGGCTCTAAACTAGGGGTGTCGAACTCAATCAGAGAAGGGGCCAAAATCTAAAATCCAGCCTAAATCGCAGGCCGAATGGTTTACTGAACAGTCATAAACTGTCATTGTGATGGAAACGCAGCGGAGTGCAGTGATGACAGCGCGGTGCGGGCCACATTGCAAGGCCTGGCGGGACGGATTTGGCCCGCGGGCATTGTGTTTGACACATGTGCTCTAAACCATCCTCTTAAAGACACCTGTCACTTCTCCCTACTTCTTGCCCATGTCCTCTCTTGTTTGCTCCTTATTCTCTGTCATGCGGAAAATCGCAGGGCCAACAGACAGCTCTCTGAGGGGGCAGGTGCCATGCAGGGAGCGAGTGTCTGGTGCATGCTGGCTTCAAACAGGGCGCTGCCCCGGGGGAGTCCCAGGAGGTCAGTACAACATTCCCATTTTACAGACGGGAAAATGGAGCCCCAAGAGCTGTAGTTATGGGCCCCGGTCTGCCTGTGCTCGTCCCATTAAGGCAGGCTGAGATGGTGAGCTTCCTGTCACTAGCGATGTGGGACAACCACGTCTCTGAAGCAGGCAGCCACGGCTTTTGGGATCCCATCCAGCCTCCAGTTTCTGAAGTTCTTGGCGCCTCCCTCTCCTGGGACGATTCCTATGCAGGCTGTGGAGGAGGGTGGGGAGTGTGAGAGAAGGGGCACAGGGAGCTGCACTGGGCACCCCGCCCTGGGCCCAGCTGGGGGAGCCCACGCACGAGGAGACAGGCAGGAGCGGCCCTGCAAGGCGCTGGCATCACAGCTCTGGGGCACACAAACCTGGACTCACGTCTGGGCTCTGCCACTCTGGGCTCGGAGACCGTCACTGTTCTGAGCCTTCGTTTGCTCGTCAATTGGAGCTAGAGCAGCTCTTCTGCCTGCCTGTGTGTGTGTGTGCGCGCGCGTGCGTGTGTGTGTGTGTGTGTGTGTGTGTATGTGTGTGTGTGTGTGTATGTGTGTGTGTGTGTGTTGGGGGTATCTGGTATTGACTCAGCGCTGAGCGGGGGGGGTGGGGGGGAGATGCAGAGGCAGCACAGGCCTGGAGGCCAGCAGGCAGGGGAGCTGGGAAGGAGTGGGCTGGCTGCCAAGTGCCAGGAAGCTGATTTTGCTGGTTTAGGAAGGGTCATTGCACTATTGCTTCCTGTGAGACCCTGACAAAGGGAAAAGAGTGTGTGTGTGTGTGTGTGTGTGTGTGTGTGTGTGTGTGTTTATGTGTGTGTCTTCATTGAATGACCAGGGCACCCAGTTGTCTCTGGATTAACCCTGAGATGCACCAGCCTGTGGTTGGGACGCTGAGTCCCCGCTGGGCGCCGAGGAGCCGGGCCATACCAGAAGGGCCCAGAATCAAACCCCAGCGTCCTGAAGAGCAGGTCCATGTGCGAAGCCCCTTACAGTTTCCCGGGCAGTTGGGCCTTGGATTCTCACTGCCTGGGTCCAAATTCTGTCTCTGCTGCTTTTCAGTGTGTTCTTGGGCAAGTTACTAACTGCTCTGGGCCTCAGTGATCTCATCTGTAAAATGGGCAGCTCCACCACAATAGACAGTCGTCAGGCTGCAGTGAGCACTCGATCAGTTAATGTGTAGATGGGGCCTAGGACAGCGCCAACAGGCACTGTTGTTTTAAAACAACAGTGGTGTCCTCTGCAATGGTAACTATTATTATTATTTTCTCAGGGCCCAGGCCTTACTGTAAGAACATGGGCTCTGCATACTCTGTACATGGCTTCCTTCCTCCCGCTCTGCCCGCCCCCATCCCCTGGGCCTGGGTGTGGGGAGGACAGCCAGGCAGACAGGGCAGGCTGTGCACAGCGTCCCCTCGGTTCTCTTGCAGCCCTGCCTGCAGCGCACAGCAGCCTGTTCAACCTGAAGACCATGGTGGAAGCCATCACGGGGAAAAATGCCATCCTGTCCTTCGTGGGCTACGGCTGCTACTGCGGGCTGGGGGGGCGTGGCCTGCCCATGGATGAAGTAGACTGGTAGGTTCCAGAACGCCAGGGCTGCTGCCAGAACTGGGTGGGGTGGAGAAGGTCAGACTGATCTCTATCTGCGAGAGGCAGGCGAGGCCCTTTCCCCAAACGACGAGGCTTGTTTGATGAGTTAGTGACGACAGACGAGCTGACCTTTGACCTGTGTTCTCCCCAATCATGGTGGACACACTCTATGGTTCATCACAAAGGTCTCAGGCCCGGAGGCATTTGAACTCCCACCCTCGCCAGGAAGGAACCTCTGACCTCCCCCAAGTACACAGGCTTATGCTTGACAAAGGCAAGGGCGGTGACCCTGACCCCATCAGACTGCAGGCTTTGAAGGTCAGGGCTGTGAGTGCTTCCTCCGCAGACAGGGAGTCCTCAAGTCATGGCTTGTCTTCCACTCCTGTCTCCCCAAAAGCAACCAGCACCAAGTCTGGTATTACCGGGAGCTTAATAATGCATGTTGACTAGTTTTTTTTGTTTTTGTTGTTTTTAAAAAAAATATATTTTATTGACTTTTTACAGAGAGGAAGGGAGAGGGATAGAGAGTTAGAAACATGGATGAGAGAGAAACAGCCATAAGCTGCCTCCTGCACACCCCCTGCTGGGGATGTGCCCACAACCAAGGTACATGCCCTTGATCGGAATTGAACCTGGGACCCTTCAGTCCGCAGGCTGACGCTCTATCCACTGAGCCAACCCGGTCTTGGCTTGACTAGTTGTTCTCCCTCCACCAGAGGGGATAGGAGTAGCCACCCTACAATTGCTTCCTGTCCCCCTTCCCCCACCTCCCACTCAAGCCTTCAGCCAGGTATGGCCTCTGCATATAGTCAGTGTATAGCCCTAACCCTCCCTCCCACCTGACCACGTTGCTGGACCACGTGGCCCTTCCTGCAGCTGCAGCCAGGGCTCCGAGGGGGGAAGCTGGAGCCCTGGGCTCAGACAAAGAGGCATAATCATGGGCAAGAACCTGGGCACTGGCCTGCTTTGCCTGGCTGTGCGACCTCAGGAAAGTAACTCCCCCTCTCTGGGCCTCAGTCTGAAGGTCTGACCAGTGAGGACATGGGACAGATGATCGGGCTCTCTGCTGGTAGGAGATGGGCCTAGCCTGGCGATGCAGGCCTGTTCTCCTCTACCCGCCCCTAGGTGCTGCCATGCCCATGACTGCTGCTACCAGAAGCTCTTTGACCAGGGCTGCCACACCTACGTGGACCATTATGAGTACAGCATCGAGAATAAAACGACGATTGTCTGCAGTGAGTCCCTCCCCCGACACCTGGGCCCCGTGCAGGGCTGCGAGAGGAAATACAGGACGCGCAGTTAAATCTGAAGTTCAGATAAACAACGAAAAATGTTTACGCATCAGTAGATCGTAAACGTTTCACTGGATATACTTACCGTATTTTCCGGCGTATTAGACAACCCCCTAATTTTACAGTTAAAACATAGGTGTAGGTCTATATTCGCTGCATAAGACTACCCCCCACTTCTGAGGCAACACCAGTTCTTTTTTTAATAGACCGCCTCTCTGACTCTGGCCAATCTGAGCAGGCTTTTTACTAGAACACAGTGTAGCTTCGGGTACAGAACATGTATAATTCGCATGCATAAAAAGCCTGCTCAGATTGGCTAGAGTCAGAGAGGCGGTCTATTAAAAAAGGAACGTGTTGCCTCGGAAGTGGGGGGTAGTCTTATACAGCGAATATAGGCCTAAACCTATGTTTTAACTGTAAAATTAGGGGGTCGTCTTATACGCCGGAAAATGCCGTATACTAAAAATTTAATATTAGCACAATGCCAAATGGCGTTATTTTAGAATTTAAGAATTAGCATGGGTATATCCCATGCAATATTTGGGATGTACTTATACTAAAAATATTTGTTGGTCTGAAATTCAAATGAACCAGGCCTCTTGTTTTTGGTGTTTGTTAACTCTAACAATCCTAGCTGTGGCTCTGGCACGTGTCCCTGGTATGTTCTGATCCCCAAGCCTGACGTGGCCCCCATTTCTCTCGTCCTGGGGATTCTGCAGCTTTGGAGATTCTGATTCAGGGGGTATGGGTGGGGCTCAGGAGTCTCTTAGGTCCGTGGTCGGCAAACTGTGGCTCGCGAGCCACATGTGGCTCTTTGGCCCCTTAAGTGTGGCTCTCGCCACAGCCTGGGCGAGTCTATTTTGAAGTGGTGGTGCTAGAAGAAGTTTAAGGTTAAAAAATTGGGCTCTCAAAAGAAATTTCAATTGTTGTCCTGTTGCTATTTGGCTCTGTTGACAAATGAGTTTGCCGACCACCATCTTAAGGTGACTGTGAGACTCTCTGACACTGGCCTGGGAGCCGGGGGTTGGGGGTGTAAAGCGGGTTCTGCCAGCATCTCCTGGCCCTGTGGCCCGGGCAGGCCCTTCCCTGCCTGGCCTCAGTCTCCCCCTGGCTACACGAAGGGGTTTGGTTCCCTTTCAGTTCTGTCACTGGGACCTCACCAGAAGGTGGCGCCATCCCAGAACCCTCAGAGTTTCCAGATTTCAAGCTATTGGAGTCAGGCCCGGTGGAGTTTCCTCCTTCGGGACTCCCCATGGCCTTCCCCCAATGGGTGTGCCATATCCAAGCTAATGGCCCAGGTGTCCCTGCCCTGCCTCCCCTTCGCGCCCCTCCCTGGGGCAGCAGGTGCCCCGATCCAGTGCTATGGGCAGCCTGAGCTCCCTTTGTCTCCTCTCTTAACCGGGCTGAGCTCCTTGTCCCTCACTAACAGCTCACCAGCAACCTCGGCTTCGCAAGGAAACTCTCCTGTTCTCTGGGAAAGAGTCTGGAGCGAGGCGGGGACTGGGCACACCGGGCCCTTGGGATCTGGGGCTCTGTGTGCCTCATACTCCGCTGTTCAAACGTGGGCAGAAGGGCTGGCTTGAAAGAAGGGGTGTCCCTTCATTTAATCTCCAAGCAGTGGTTTTCATAACTTCTGGGGATTCCTGGGGCAGGGGGAAGAGCTGCTGTGAGAGGTGATGGGGTCGGGGGGGAATGGGGGGGAGAATAAGAGGTGTCCCTGAGTGTTTCGCCTGGCTCTTTGATGTATATTACAGTTTAAGAGGCTTCTCTTTCAGCTGTCTGATATGTTAGCCTTCAGCAAAGAGTTTCATTTAAGGGAAAGGATTCTGCTGATGGAAAGGCTGGAATATCTGCAAACCATTGGCTCGTGGGTGGTTCTCAAAGGGTGTTCCCCAACCTGGGGCCTCGGCATCCCCATGGCACTTGTCAGAAATGCAGATTGTCAGGCCCCGCCTGACCTACTGAATCCGGAGCTCTAGGGGCGGGGCTGGGCAGTCGGCTTTAACAAGCCTGCCCGCTGGTTCGAATGCGCACCTCAGGTGGGGAATTCTGGAGACTAATATTAATAACCGCAGCGGCAGTTACCGTGCGTTAGGCATTTGCTTGGTGGGAGGAAGTGTTCTCATTGGATGCTTAGCACGAACGCCCTCCAGGGCGGGTGTTCTGCCAATCTGTGACGGGAGAGAGCTCCAGACACCTCTGAGTTCTCGTCCCAGCTCTGCCTAAGTTTGTTGGTGACTTAGGTAAACCCACCCCCCTCGGAGCCTCAGTTTCCCAACGATGCAATGACATGCTGGGCTTGAGTGGCTCTCTGAGTTCAGCAAACGCCAGAGCCCCCTGGGGGTGGGGGTGGCTGCCCAGCCCAGCGCTTCGGAGCTCACAGGCCTCGGGTGGGCCTGCCAGCGGTGCTGGTGCAGCTGGCTCTGGCCCCCTGAACCCTCAGACCGCACGCACCCCCCTCCCCACAGGAGATCGCAACCAGACGGACTGCGACAGGCAGACGTGCGAGTGCGACAAGAGCGTGGCTCTGTGCTTCCAGAGGCAGAAGTACAACGAGAAGCATCGCAACTACCTCAACATCTACTGCCAGGGCACCACCCCCAACTGCAGCATCTACGAGCAGCCCAAGAATAAGACCTGTAGGCCCCCCTCCTCGCCACCCCCTGCGCTGCCCTAGTGCCCGCTGGGGGCTGGCAGAGAAGGAGGGTGGCTGTTCCTGCTCTGGGGACCAGACACATGGAACCGGCAGAGGTGGGGGTGGGTCTGGAGCCTCCGGGCCACCCTGCCACCTTCTCCCTGGAGCTCTCCGGCAAGGCTGGTCCCCAGAGGACTCAGGAGGGCCTGGGCCCTGACTGTGGCCACCGGGGTCCTCCAGCCCGGTCCTGGGCGTGTCCGAGTCCCGCTGTTGGTCCCGGCCTTGGCAGGGAACGTGTGGCTTGTTGGGGTCACTCCTGAGTATGGAAGACGAGACCTGAAGAGAGGCCCCAGACCCCCAGGTCTCTGACAAACACAGGAGAAGCAGGGCCCAGCCCTCAGCCTCTCTCCCTGCACCTCCCCTCAGGCAGCAGCCAGGCCAGTGGTGGAAAGACCTTAGCCCTGAGCGAGGAGAGGCGGAGGGCTGGGACCCACCTGGGTGAAAAGGGAAGCAGAGGCCTGGCGGGAAGCTGAGCAGAAGATTCAGGGAGGCAGGGAGGGAGAAGCCTGGGGAAGAGGTAAGGGAGGGGAGAAGCTGAGAGAGAGGTGAGACGGGGAGAGGGTCAGATGTCCAGACAGAGGTGTGGAGCTGGGTTGAAGAGTCTGAAGGTGGTGAGGAGGAGTGAGGGTCACACTTTTTGAGGAGAGGAGAGGTCCTCTCCTTCCTTTCCACTCCTTTGAGGTTAGGAGATCTTTCATGCTAAGGTTTGTGGACGGGGCCGCACTTGCTTTACGTTGGTCTAGGAGCCGCCATGGCCAAAGGAGTTCTCCTTGGCCAATCTTTACTCAGGCTCCTGAGGCCTCTTAGCAACCTTTTGGTTTCCACGGCCATCTCGGCATCACCTACCTTTAGCAAGAATCCCCACCCACCATCAATGTCTGACTGTATTCCACATCCTCCGCCTTCTGATCACCCTGGCCTGCCTCCAGCAAGAATCCTATTGGGTCAGTCTAGCAAGAATTGTCTTACCCTCTTAGCCATTTTCCATCCCCCAACCCACCTCAGCTCCTATACATCCCCACTGAAGAAAAATGTGGCTTTGTGATTGTTGTATTAAGAACTGAGCCCAGTGCTACACTGCCCCTTGTTGCAAGAGTCTTGAATAAAATCTGTTTCTATCACTTAACCTACTGTCTCCAGCTTCTGGTTTTCTCACGGCTGTGGTGCCGTGACTCAGGGGATATCTGATTACCCCTAACTGCCCTCACCTGCAGGCCTGGTCACCCCTAACTGTCCTCCCCTGCAGGCCTGGTCACCCTTAACTGCTCTCCCCTGCAGGCCTGGATCCTCCCCCCCCCCCCACAACTGCCCTTCCCTAAAGGCCTATTCACCCCCAACTTTCCTCCTCTACCAGCCTTGTCCCCCCCCCAACTGCCTTCCTTGGCAGGCCTGGTCCCTCCCAATTGCTTTGCCCTGCTGGCCTGGTCGCTCACAACTGCCCTCCCCTGATGGCTTGATCCCTCCCAACTGCCCACCCCTGCTGGCCATCTTGTGGCAGCCATCTTGTGTCCACATAGGGGTAGCCAGCTTTGACAACATGGGGGCAGCCATCTTGTGTTGGAGTGATGGTCAATTTGCATATTACTCTTTTATTAGATAGGAAAAATTCAACGTAATGACAGATGCACAAGTAAAGATGCAGCAAGAATGAATTCTTTGATTCTACTACTTCATGTAGACCAAACAGCACAGTAAACCAAGCCACCCATGACTTTAAGCTTCTTAGAGTTTGGCTTTTATAATACTTGTCTAACGTGCATGGGCTGTAAAAACAGTTAGCAGGGAAATAACCTGAGATGAGGCTAGCTTTGTTTAATGTTATAAGATGTTCACCTAAAAACAGTTTCCAAAATCTTTTTAGTTATTTGTAACCTCAGAGTTGTATAAAATGAAATTAAGTGATCAATATACATTAAATATGTAGATCATTTCTAAGTAAGTTAAACTACTGAACATGAATTACTAAACATAAGTTTAAGTTTTATACTTTTAGCTTCTTTTTATATGAGATAGAGAAAAATATTTGGGTCTCTTAATAAACATAAAAAGTTCTACTAGAGAAAATTGTGAGATGGTATACTTATAAAATTTGCTAATTTACTGTAGAATGTTACTTTATGGAAGCCAGCATACAAGGTCTATTTCCTTTTATCCACTGGAAATTAAGTTACTAAGGGTTAAGAATTCTAATTAATATATTTAAACAAAACTACTAAGAACAATAAGGATGAGGGGAAAAATGTATGCAAAATATTCAAGAATGTAGGCTACATTTTTGTTTTTTAAAAAAGGAGAGTAATTTGTTTTAAAGCAGTTGTTCAGAAGGTGTTTAAAAATTGCTACAGAATGACAAAGAGGAAAATATAGGACAAAACTATTTTTTGAGTGGATACAGAAAGTTGTAAAGGGTTTGTGGAGAAGGGATTTTACAGGCAGTCAAGCTGGCTAAGATCAAACTGATTTATTTATAGGGTTTTTTAAAATGAGCACAATAAATGAATGCAAAACTAGAATTTGGTTTTCTCAGTTAAAACAGCCAACCTTTCTTAGATTATTGGTCTGCTTTTTACAAGAGATTGTAAAAGATTTTTCTTTACCTCTTGAGTAAACTGCACAGGAAACAAAGATTCTGTGTTTTATTGGAGTTGATATTTTTAAAAGAGCCCAGATGACTCAGGTTTAAAAGAGCAAAAGGTTTTTTTTTGTTTGTTTGCTTGTTTTTATATTTTTGACAATTTTTCTTTTCCAAAATCCAGTCCTAAATGAAATCTTGATCTCAAACTGGCCCTTTCAGAAGGCCTGGGACATCTCAAAGGACGTGTTCTCCCACCTTGTGAAAAGAGAGATGCTAAAAATAATTCGGTTTATTTGACAAGTGAAATCGCATGACAGGCATCACATAAGAGACGCTTTAGCTTTTTCTAAGTTATACTTGTATGGGTAAATATTTTAAAGTAATATAAATATTTTTTAAAATGCATGAAGTTCAGCCCTGGTTGGTGGCTCAGTCAGCTGAGTGTCGTCCCCATGCACCAAAAGCAGTTGTGGGTTCTGTTCCCACTAAGGGCACATACCTAGGTTGTGGTTCAATCCCAGGTCAGGGTGCATACAGAAAGCAACTGATAGATGTTTCTCTTTCACAGCAATGTTTCTCTCGCTTTCTCTCTTTCCCTCTTTCTCTTCCGCTCACTCTAAAAATAAAAAATAAAAAATTAATAGACAAATCCTTGGCTGAGTGTTTAAAAAAATGTATGAAGTTCATGTAAATTTGTCAATGACTGTGCTGTCCATATGTCCTGGAACAATGTTATCATTCATGATTCTAGTTATTATCTGAATATGTTGCATTTTACAGAGGCAACCACATTTCCTTGTCAATTGGATTATAATACACTAGAGGCCCAGCGCACAAAATCGTGCGGGTAGAGGCCATAGACCTAGCCTATGATTAGGGCCATTTTCTGCCCATTCACCAGCCCCCAGGCTGAACGCCACCTCCACTGCCAGGGTGGGTAGGTCGCAGGCACACCCCACAACTTCTGTTAGTGTCTCAAGCTCCAGGTGCCTGGCTATGGGTTTGGGACAATATGTGTCCACAAAATCTTCCTCTTCTTTCCCCTCCTCACACCTCGATTTTCTTGTTAAATCACAAGATTCTGGCAGGTTTCCGTTTGGAGAGAATGTCCTCATAAAAGTTCCATCAGCCACCACTCCAATCCCTGTCATCACCAGCTCTTTCCCCTGCAATGGAAGGAAACAAGCAGGAACCTTCTTCAAATGGAGCCTGGATTAGGGTCACTCATTTAAATGGTGTGTGTGTTGGGGGGTGGGGGTGGGGGGAGTTGTCACACCACCCAGCGAATACCCTCTACAACCAGATCTCAGCAGATGGTTCCAGGTCCCTAGTGAACCAAAGTGCCCAGCAGAAAGGGACCATTCAGAGAGGGACTGACAGACTCTCCCTGACCATACATTAGTCAGGCCCCACCAAGATGCCTTCTCAACCAGGCCTCCACCTTTGAGTTTCGGTGTCCATGTTTGCATCCGCCCGGTTTTAACAACCCTGCTATGTCAGAGTAGGGAGACTCCCCACCCACCCTCAGTATCTGATCAAATTCCTCGCCCTCCAGCCTCACAGCCTCTGGGTGCTCTCTGATCATCCTGGCCCACAAATCCTGCTAGGTCAGTTTAGCAAGAATCCCCCTACCCACTGACCCTTGACCCTGATCCTTAGCTGTAAGTACCCACTTTTCTTTCTGCTTTTCAGAATTAAGCCCTACTGAGGTCTCTCTCCCTCCCCACCCCCCACCCCCAATTGCAGTAGTTCTTGAATAAAAATCTGTGCTTGCCACTTTAACTTCTGTCCAGCTCTGAGTTGCTGCCACACTGTCTCAGCCCAGACCTTCCACCACTCTTCTCCATTCGCTGGGAATCACCGCTCCTCCCCTCCAGCCCTCCAGGGAAGGCTGCCAGCACTTCTCTAGAACTCGGGTGGCACCTAGTGGTGATGATAGGTCACCACAGCCGGTGCTCCCCCATCCTGCCCTGCTCCAGACCAGCAATGCCCAGCAGAGCACCAGAGAGGTTGAGCACTCCCAACCTCCACCACCGTATCATAGCCACTAACACCTCCTCGTGAAGAACAGCACCCCTGGACACACTCCCCAGTCAGTCTCCGTTTCCTCTTCTGTAAGCTGTGGGTAATGATGAAGAGCACATCACAGGTTTGCAGCCACGGGTAAGAGGAGCCCCTGGCACAGGGCCTGGCGTGGTGAACGGAAATGGTCAGTGCTGGCCATTGGTGTGTTGGGCCAAAGGTCCCAGGGCCCGTTTGGCACCCAGCCATAGGTAGAAGGAAGGAGGAGCTGATGGAACGTTCATGCGGACATTCTCTCCAAACGGAAACCTGGCAGAAGGTTTCTTGTGATTTAACAAGAAAATCGAGGTGTGAGGGGGAAAGAAGAGGAAGGTTCTATGGACACGTATTGTCCCAAACCCACAGCCAGGCACCTGGAGCCTGCCCAGCCCTGGTCTCGGCTGGGCTGGGAGCCCCGACTCCCTCACACTCAGGACTGACCATGAATGCAGACTGGCAGCCCTTCCCTTCCCTTCCCCCCAACTTCCACCTCCCAGGTTGGCACGGCTGTGGTGGCTGTCAGCTTCCCCAGCTGACACCACCAGCTGATACAACAGCAAAGTGGGCCTCAGCGGCAGGGCGTACAGTACAAAGGCACAGGCACGTGGCCCGCTGGGACACCCATACTTAGCCCGCAGGCGCACCCTGTCTCAGACGCCAGGACCCAGGAAGCAGGTTAGGGATTACTGAGCTTACTGTACGTGGAGCACTGTGCTCAGGCTCTGGGTGTGGCGGCTCCTTTAACCCTCTTAGCAGCCCTGTGAGGCAGAGCTATGAATAGCCTTGTTAATAAAAGGAGGAAACTGAGGCCCAGAGAAACTCAAGATCCTGCTGTGGAACTGGGCGTTGAACCCTGATTCCCAGAGCTTAGCCTCAGAGAGCATCCCACCAGCCCCCTCATTTTTAGAAAGGGGATGACAGGAAATGAGGTTTAGACTCAGAACACAAGGGTTCCCTTTCCAGCTCCTCTCCCCCCCCCCCCCCCCCCCCCCCCTGTTTTTATCTGCAAACAAGGGATGCTCACAGATCCTAGGATCTGGCTGATGATCAAGGACAATGAATGAGAAAGCCTCACGGGGTTTTCATTGCCATGAGGAACCCAAGGCCCAGAAGGAGGAGGGGCTTGTGCAGAGAGTCTTTCTCACCCAAAGCTCCTTCACTGAGGCCTGGGCGTCTCTCCATCTCTCTCTCCTTCTCTCCCTCCTGGCCTTTGCTCAGGCTGTTCCTTCTGCCTGGACCACGCTCCCCTCCTCTCTGCCTTGCCTGGCTGACTCCCACTTAATCTTTCCAGGACCAGAATCCTTTGCGGATCAGCAGGTCTGGATGGATGGCTCCAGGTGTGCCTGCATCCTCCCTGCCCCGCCCCCCACTCCTCCCAGTCCTGTTATTTCCTGTTTACCTGTCTGTCTCCACCTGGGCTGTGAGCTGCAGGCGGAGGAGACCTCTCCTACTCCCACCAAATCTATGGTGCCCAGCCCAGTCTCACACGCTGGATATTGGTGCAGTAGATGTATGAATGGATGAATGAAACAGCACAAGTCAGTGGCTTAGCCAGACGCAGGGCATATTTAAGCCCTTGGGGCAGCCTGCGCACTGCCTCACCCTCCTCTCTCCAAGACTGGATTCCCTCTGGGACAAGCCCGTGGAGGAGAATCTCAGGGCGGGAGCATCCATGCTGGGCTCACGTCCCCTGCTCTGCCACGTGCCAGCTGTGTAGCCTTGAACCTCAGTACACTGGGATGTTAACAGCATCTGCCTGAAGATGGGCCGAGTATTCTGTGGCTGAAGGGAGCCCTGGGCCTGGACAAGGTCAGTACACAGTACCTGGAGGCTTGTCAGTAGAGGCTTTGGCGACAATCTGGACTCCCCTTTGCGCCTGGGGCCACACTCCATCCGTTCTCTTTGTTCTCACATCTGGATGTGACTCTGCTCCTAGGTGAGCTCAATAACACCTGGCCCATCCCACAGCCGACAGCCGTTCACGCACTGTCCCAAGACCCAGTCACCTCAGTCCCTGCCACCCCAGCCTGCCGCCCCCTCTAGGGCCTGCAGCCACACCCTCACTGCCATAGGCCACACACAGTCCCACACCTGCTGGTCCCCATGCTCTTCACAGTTCCGCAGACACCCCAGGAGCAGGAATGGGGGACGGCGGCTCTACCAGCCACAGCTGACCCATACTCAGCGCACAGCCACCCTAAAGCAGTGACACTGCTCCCTGTGGGGCACTGTCCCCGGCAGGCCCTGGGGTAGAGGGTGTGACTACCGCTCCACCTCCAGGACTGGCTGATGGCTTCAGCCTGACAGCAAGCACCACGGACGGTCCAACCTGACAGAGACTGTTGTAAAGACACCCACATCCCACATCGGTCCCCTTTGAGGCAGGGAGCTCCTCCAACAGCAATGCCAAGTGGCGAAGGGAATGAACGTTACCGCATCCCTGCGATGGCCACGCCCAGCCTCCCACCAGCCACGGGTTTGCCCACGAGGACACGGGGGCTAAGGAGGTTGAGCTGCCCACGTTCCCACAGGTGGAGAGCGGTGGGTCACTCACAACTTTGGACACCCTGCTCCCGGACTTCTCCGAGTGACCACAGGCTCTCCCTGGCCTGGCTTTGCCCACCTCATCTCTTTCTCTCCCTCTAACCATCACCCCCACAGCCCATCTTCCCACGCTGGGCTGCTTGCAATTCCTTGACATTCCACAATCTCTCCTGACCTCGTGTCATTCAACACAGACATCAGTGACTTTTTTTAAAAAGGGGACGAAGGTCCTTGCCTCGTGAGCTGATATTCTAGTGAATAGACAATGAACAGTGGCTGTCAGTGAATGTATACAGCGCATCACGTGGGAGAGAAGACTGGGAGGGCAGGACAGAGAGATGGGAAGTGACAGTGGGGAGAGAGCAGTATTAAGAAGGGTGGTCAGCATTAGCCTTAGGAAGGTTCCAGCAAAGACTTGAAGGAGGAGGGGGCGAGTCCTGTGGGAAGCACCTTCCAGGCAGGTCTTCAGGAGGGAGCGAACCTGGTGCCTTCAGGAGCGGCATGGAGGCCGGGTGGAGGGAGAGACAGAGGGGTGCAGGAGGTAGAGTCAAGTGGTGGTGGAAATGATCATGGGGGATATCAGGGCACTCAGAGGGGATGGGGAGCCTTGGGTGGGGTGAGGAGAGGAGGGACAGGGTCGGATGCTAGACACTGGGCAGAGGACAGTGGAACAGAGAGAATGAGGGGCAGTAACTCAGGCACGAGGTGATGGTGGTTTAGACCAAGACAGCAGCCCTGAAGGTGGTGAGAAGTGGTCAAATTCTAGATTTTTCCTTCTCGTTTTATTTTTTAATGTGTATGTTTTCCTGAAGTATTTTATAAATAGAGGATGCAGATGCATTTTGAAGATCGTGCCAACAGATTGGATGTGGGATGTGAGATACGAGATCAAGAATTCAGCACACAAGGTTTTTGGCCTGGGGAGAGGGCAAAGATGGAGGAGGCCCCACCTCACTCCTCCCAGAGTCAGGGCAGTGACGCTGAGTGGGCTGTCACAGGCCCATGTCCTCTGCTTACAGATCAGGGGGCAAGCCAGGAATAGAGGATGGCCTGGGTCCCTAACTAGAACCCCTGTCCTCTATGCCAAGCCCCACCCCGGCTCCTCTTCCTCCTTTGTGGCAGATGACCAGACACATTGGGTCCTGAGCTGGACTCTGCTGTAGTCAGGAACCCCCAAGGAGGGAGGTGCCTGGCTGGGGCCTGGCCCCCTTGGTTCCACACCTGCCCTTCTGCAAACACTTTGCTCAGAGACCTTGAAGACCCACTCTGATGGAATGAACCTCAAGTTTCCCTTCAGCATTTAGTACAGCACATGCAGGCAGAGCAAATGGGAAGAACAGACCAATTTCCCATGTGACTGTGACCGTGACCATGTGAGCTGAATCAGGCAGAACCGAGGAGCCCTCTGCACACTACCCACCTTGGGCTTTCCTTTCTGTCTTCATACCAATGATGTATCTGACCTTGAACTTCTAATAGCTGCTATGGCTCCTAATGTTCTCCCAGACCTGATTCTGTATGTTTGTTTTAAATCTCTGAATTCCTACTGCCCAACACTGTGAATGGCCCAGAACGGGAGCTCAATAAATGTTTGTTGGGTGACTGAGTGAACACGTCCCTCTATGTTAGGGGTGTCGAACTCAATCAGAGAAGGGGCCAAAATCTAAAATCCAGCCTAAATCGCGGGCCGAATGGTTTACTGAACAGTCATAAACTGTCATTGTGATGGAAACGCAGCGGAGTGCAGTGATGACAGCGCAGTGCGGGCCACATTGCAAGGCCTGGCGGGACGGATTTGGCCCGCGGGCCTTGTGTTTGACACATGTGCTCTATGTGCTCCCCATCATTCCATGAGCAAGGCCTTTATCCTCCCAACCTACCTAGTAAGTGGCAGGGACCATGTCCCCAATCTTTTCAGGGCCTCCAGGCACAGCACATGTTGGGAACCCAGGAGTCTCAGTGAGTGAAGACTAATTACGCAGTCAGCTATGCTGCACAGCAAGTCACACCAAGACCAAGTGACTTAAAACAGCAGCCTTTATTTAGCTCACGGTTCTGCGAGTTGGCAATTTGGCTGAGCTGTTTGGTCTTGGCTAGATTCCCACGTGTGTCTGTGGTCAGCTATGGGTTGGCTTTGCTGATCTTCACCAAGCATTCTCACGTGTCGGAGGACTCAGTGGAGATGATGGGGCTGATGACTCTGGTCCAGGTGAGCTCCTGGCTTCTGGCAGGCCAGCCAGGCTTTTCCTCATGGCGGGGGCAGGGATCCCAAGAGAGTCTAATGCACCATACCTAACGCCTAGACTGGGGAACTGGCAGACTATCAGTCCCACAACATTCTATCGACCAATGAAAGTCATAAGCCCAGCTCAGAGTTCAGATTCAAGGGGTGGGGAAAACCCTCTACTTCGTGATGGGAAAAGCAGAGTGTCGCATCGTGAGAGGTGAGGATACTGAGAGGCGAGAACACTGGGGCCGCTTGTTGATGCTCTCAGGCTTTGTCTCCTGAGAGGTGACAATGGCATCGATTTTCTCTCCCCTGAGCCTTTTCAGAAGGTAGAACTCGAGGCAGCTTGCTCTGCTCACAGCTAGATCTGGACTGTGGGCCCATTCCCCAAGTCCACCCTGCACCCTGATCTGGGGTAGGAGTGGGGAGGGGGAAGAGGGAGACCTTAGGGAAGATCCTGGGGCCTCTTCTCCCCTGGGAACTTCCTAGGGTGGGTACTGGGGACATCTCTCTATGCTGTCACCTTGTTTCATTGCCTCCCACTGCCTACTGCCATGGGCATGTGTCACTGATTTGTGCATACACTATGGTCTGTCTCCCTCCATTGAATGCCAGGATTTTGTCTTTGTTCTCCAGCCCTCTGGTGCTGAATGACAAAGGAGTACCACCCAGCTGGACTCTGGCGGGTGAGCTGCACAGACTGGAGCCTGTTGGGATGATGGGAGAGGGCATCCTGGAAGCGATCCTAGAGCAGATGCTGAAGATCCTAGCACTTGAGTTTACGCCTGCCACACCGGGGCCGGCTCAGGAAGAACTGCTTGAAGTTTTTCTCATAGGTGGGCAGGTTCTCTTTGAAGCAGTATGCAGACTGCTTGTCGCACTCGCAGGCCCTCAGCCCACAGAGGCAGCCGGCACCAGGATAGAGGGCACACTCACCTGCGGAGAGACAGAGGGTTACTGGGAGCTCCCAGCTCACGCCCGGGGGTTGGGTCTAAGAGAGCGAGCTGTAAGGGGTTAAAAACAGAAAAGGGAAGTCACTTGAAGTCCTTTTCCTTAGGACCCAAGGCCTGATCACACCTGGACGTGTCACAAGTACTGGCATAAGGAGCAGTCGAGAAGGAAACAAGAGTCGTGGGGGGTGAGGGCTGCATGGAGGGAAGATCCTGAGTTGGTGTACCGGGGCCATTTCCTCAAAACTCATCTCATATTTCCAACCCCTTGCTTGACATCTCGCGTGGACCTCTCAGGCATCAACAACTTGAGATGCCCAAAGTGAATTCACACTGTAAGCGCTCCCTCCGCCCACCATGCCCGCCTCCTCCCTTTCTCCGGGCTCAGGAAATGGCACCACCTCCTACTCAGCCGGAAAGCTAGCAGTCAACCCTGGTCCCTCCCCTCCTCTGACTTTTCACATCTAGTCCACCAGCAGGTTCCATCGATGTCCCCGTGTTTAAAATGTCATGCTCTGCCTGCTTCTCGCATCTTCTCAGCCACCCCCCAAATCCCTGTCATCACCAGCTCCCCTCCCCCCCGCCCCCCCCATGGAAGGAAACAAGCAGGAACCTTCTTCAAATGGAGCCTGGATTAGGGTCACTCTCTTGCTTAAAGCCCTGCTGTGGGTTCCCACTATTGGGGGAAAGACATCCCAAAGCCTTACCACAGACCCCAAAGCAGGCTTGCCCTGATCTGGCCCTCACCAACGCCTTCATCCTCACTGTCCCTCGCTCTGCCACTGTCACCCTCTCCAGGCACACCAGCCTCTTTACGGCATGGGTCTTGCTCTGTCTTATCCCGGGGCTTTGTCACTCACTCTCCTCTTTGTCTAAAACAGTTCTCTCCGGAATCTTTGAGTGGCTAGATCCATCCCCATCCTTTGGGTCTTGGTCAAATCTGCCCTTGTCAGACCTGAGGCTCTCTCCAGCCACTCTCCCTCACATCCTGCTTATTCCATTGCTGTATTTTCATACCTGATACTTCTCTTATTTATTTACTTGCTTATATCCACCTCTCCTCAATGGAGTGTGAGCTCTGTGAGGCTGGGATGTTGTCTGTCCTGGCCACCACAGTGTCCCCGGTGTTCAGAATAGAAGCTGGCTCAGAGTAGGTGCTCAACAAATAGTTGTTGACTAAATGAAAGAAGCCTCCATGGGCCTTTGGGATCAAGTGTCTGCCCTTTGGCTGAATTCGCCGCTAGATGGAGATCTTCTGTTTATTAGTCAGAGCTGTGGTGCTGTGTGTGCGTGCGTATGGTGTGTGTGTGTGTGTGTGTGTGTGTGTGTGTGTGTGTGTGAGAGAGAGAGAGAGAGAGAGAGAGAGAGAGAGAGAGAGAGAGAGAGAGAGAGAGAGAGAAGGGGGTGGTAAGGCACAGATTTCTCTTTCTAGATAACCGCACCCAGTTCTACTCTCTCTCTTTTAAGGGAAACATGGAACTAACAGCTTTAGAATAGTCTTTCTCATTCTGTGAAATACACTTTCACAAATGAGACAGAGCAAGAAGATCCGCATTCCTGCCCGGGGCTCACCAGGCCGCCTGCCAGGCCTCTGATGCCTGCACCAGGCCTCTGCCCAGTCTCAGTCCTCTCCCGGGGTTCTCCTGTCCAATCTCAGGGCTTTAAGTACAATCTGAGCACTGACGACTCTCTGCTCTCAGCCCAGCCAGAGGGCTCCCTCGAGCTCTAGACTCCAATGTGCTCGTGTCCACTCAACATTCCTCTTGGTGTCTCAAACCCCGCATGGCACATGGCAAGTGCTTGCTGTGTCTCCGGAGCCTGCTCTTCTGCCACCTGCACAAGCCCAGAAGAGGACACCATTTGCCACGGCTGCTCAGGCAGGGAACCTCGGTTCCACCTCTTTCCTTCCCGACCCACATCCAACCCACCAGCAGGTCCTGCCAATTTACCCCAACACACCTGGCACCTGACACTGCTCTTCGCCTCCACGTCGTCCCCCTGATCCAAGCTGTGGTGACTCTCTAGTGCTACGGAAACAGTCACGTACAGTTCCCCCTTTCCTCCCCTGGCTCCCTAAGTTCTCTGCAGTGGCCACAGTGGTCTTTCTAAAGCAAAATGAGTGCAGATCACTCCCTGCCTCAAAGGACCCAACAGCTTCCTCTACAACTGAAGCGGACGGTGAGTTCCTTGCCCTGTCCCCCACACCTCCTCTCCCCTCCTTCCTGTCTCCTCTCTCCCCCCACCCTGGCCAAATGCCACGTCCTTGGAGAGGTCTTCCTCAGCCCCCTAAAGCAGCCATCCTCCCTCCTCCTGCCTTCGTCATTCTTTACCCTGCTGCCTTGTTTTAGATGCTTCATAGCACTTGTCACTGCCTGAATGTACCTTTACTTCGGACTATTTTATGATCTATCTCTCTCCTTAAAGGCAAGCTCTTTCCAGGCAGGGAGCTTATCTTATCACTAGTGGCCCAGTGCATGAAATTCGTGCACAGGAGGGCAGGTGTTCCTCAGCCCAGCCTGCACCGTCTCCAATCTGGGACCCCTTGAGGGATATCTGACTGCTGATTTAGGCCCTCTGGGAGTGGTGGCTCCTAACAGCTCATTTGCCTGCCTGATTGCCCCTAACCACTCTGCCTGCCATCCTTCTCACCCCCAACTGCCCCCCTTGTCAGCCTGATTGCCCCAAACTGCCCCTCCTACAAGCCTGCTCACCCCTAACTGCCCCCATCTGTCAGCCTGCTCATCCCAACTGCCTCCTCTGCTGGCCTGATTGCCCCTAACAGCCTCTGCCTTGGCCTCGCCACCTTAGCTTTGTCTAGAAGGATGTCTGTAAGGTCACCCGAAAGGTCTCCCGGTATAATTAGCATATTACCCTTTTATTAGTACAGACCTTCAGCCCTGAGCATGCGTAAACATGCCATCACTCCTGCAGCTGCCTCACTGGCTGGACTTATGCGACCTGTGGGGCAGCAAAAGGACCCCATCCCAGGGGACTGGAAGCCAGGTTCTCGGCCCTAACCTGCTGCCCACATGCTCTAAGGTCTCATGTGCTTCTCTCCACGCCTGTTCCTCAGCTTTCATATGGGGCTAAGGATACCTGCATAGACGAACGCTTTTTCATTCGCTCACTCATTGAACAAGCAGGGATTGATTTTCTGCCACGTGTCTGGCCTTTGTCTAGGATCTGTGGGTACAGGTCCGAGTGAGCAGACCCCACAGTGCACACAGCTCCAGGGGCATCCTTCTCCGTGGACTCTGAGCATGAGTGTCCACGAACAAGACACGCTTATTCCCTGCTCTCTGGGAACTCACATGCTATTGGGGGGAATGTTGATGCAAAAGTAAACGAGAGAATTTCAGGTGGAAATAATTGCTAGGAGAGAAAAACGGTGATGTGTAGGGAATGGAAGGGTGGTGAGGAATTAACTCAGTAGTAAAGGAGGAAGACCTTTGCAAACAGCACTTCCCAATGGCTACCAAGTTCGCCTTTCCCCCTTGGGCAGAAGGAGAAGTCTTGGCTGCAACTGGCCTCTGGTCTCCGCCTCCCACAGCCAGGGGCTTTCTTGCACAACATATGCATGCATATGTGGGTGAAGGGGGCTGTCACCAGGGCTGCTCTTCAAGTCCCTTGCAAATGCCAAGTGCTTATGTAAGCCCACTCAAAGGAGGGATAACCTCCGGGCAAAACAGCCCCAGGGCTCTGGTTACAGGCCTATCTCTGCCCTGATCTCCTAGTGACATTTAGAGACATGGACAGAGCAAGTTGTTTTTCTCCTTTCCCTCCCCTGCTCTCCAACTGCATCCCAGAGCAGCCACTGGTTGCTAGGCAACCTGGGACTGGGTTTGGGGGCAGGATTTCAGAACTGGAGACTGGGGAGCAATTAACCCTTGGAGGGCAGCTCTTTGAACCGCAGTGTAACTGAGGTTGGAGGTCGAGGGGGTGCTTTTATTCTATAGAGGGTCCATGGCTTTAGCTCAAGGAGATGCTTCAAAGAAGTCTCTCCATGGTAATAGAGAAAAATCCCACAAAGTAAAGGGAAAAAGAAAACGGAGATGAAAAAAGCAACTTCTAAAAGGAAGGGCACCTGCTGTGGGCCAGAGCCTTCGGTTGGGTTACCTCAGTCACTCCTTACAGGGACCTCATGAAACACATATTATCGGCTCCATTGTACAGACGAGGAGCCAAAGGCCCAGGTGGTTTTGCACTTACCCAGCCAGAAGGGGTGAAGCTGGGATTCAGACCCAGCTCTGCCTAGCTCCAAAGCATTGCTCCCCCTGGGCCTCGTAGCCGGGCACACAGAGCTAGAACAGAAAGATCTGGGGCATCGGCCTTTCTTTGCCCCCTGGGCCAGGGGTAGGCATCCTGATACGTGTGCTGCAGATGGCAAGACGCGTTTGTGTGGTCTCCCATCAAGGGCACCCATCACCCTCCCGCTGGGAGGCCAGTGTGAGGCAGGAGCCCCAGCTCTGGGGTCAGAGGACCTGGGTCCAAAGCCCAACTTTCCCTGGCTGTGTGACCTTGGCCATCTCACATAACCTCTCTGAGCCTCAGGATCCTCCTGGATAATGGGGAGAATAATGCCCACCTCAAAGGGTTGTCATGGGGGTTCCAGGTGCTGTCACAAACACTGTTGTTATTATACCTATTTTATGGATGGGGAGTCAGAGGCCAGAAAACCCAGGCCAGGCAGTGTGTTCCAGAGCCTGGGGAGACCCAAGGCACAGGTATTATAACCCTGCCTGTGGCTTGGATCAAGCCTTTCTTCTCTCTGGGCCTCGACCTCCCTGTCACTACCATGAAGGGTTGGCTGGATGGTCCCTAAGGGCGCCTTCAGCCCCAGAGATACCAGGAGAGCAGGGCCTGAGGCGGCCTTGCTCAGTGCCCCTGGTCCCTGGCACAGTGCTGGGCCTGGGTGGGCACTCAGTCATCACAGGGCAAGTGAAGGAAGGTCCATGGGTCTCCCTTAAGGTCTCAGCGCCTATAGCAACAGACCCGGGACTAGGACCCAGATGACCCAGGTCTCAGTCCTATCCCAGAAATCGGGACCTTGGCAAGGTGAGGTAAGGATGAAGAGGGGGTCAGCTTGGTACTCACTGGCTGGTCAGCTGAGGAAGGGGGTGCTGACATCTGGTGGTGACAGGGAAGTGTCCCTGCATGAGAATTCTCTGAGCAGGGCTCTGTCCTATAGGAGCCCTGATCAAGTTTCAGGAACAACTGTCCAGCTCCCAGCCCCTGCCTGTACCTCCTGCCACCACTCAGCATGTGCCAAGCAGAGGACAGTTGGGCATGCCACCACCTGGGGCTCCAGCCTCCGTTCCCAGTCACTCTCCTCTGGGGTACTGGGCTGTGGTTCGGATCCCCACACAGGAGGCGGAGGGAGCTGCTCAGGGAGCTTCTCCAGGTGTGGAGTGCGCAGGCCAGCCCTCCTGGGCACAGCCAGCCCACTGCATCCCAGGGAAGAGGCATGGTCTAGGCCTGGGACTGATGGAGGGAGAGTGGGGGAAGTCCTTTGTAGTTACTGATGTTCCATATCCCTCCCCAGGACACTGTTTCCTTCTTCCTCAGTCCCTGTGCTTTATCGGGACATCAGAGGAGAGGGCTGCTTGAGTACATTTTCTCTAAAACTGATGCCTTTCCAGCCATCTGAGATAACACTTGACATGACAGATGGTAAGATCAAGATGAAAAGAGGCGAGGAGAAGCCAGTGTGAGAAGACAGACAGCAAGACAGTGAGCCAGGCTGGGAAAACAGCTAGGGGGCACCTCTGTGGAGTAACCCTCCCTCCCCAACCAGCTGCCAGGCTTCTCCCCAACCCTGCCCTACATCCCTAGGTGGGGCCTGGAGGGGTGGGAGAAGGTGATCAGAAACTTGGTCTGGCCTCCAGAGGGCATCAGAGGCCACAGCAAACTATACTCTGGGGGCAACCTTCTCCTGCTCTCCCTCCCCTGCCCTTGTATGAAGCCCAATCCCTTCCCATCTCCTTGGACATGACCTTGGGGTCTCACAGAAGGGACACTTTGCTTTAGGCCTGAGGGTGGTCATGGCCAGACAGCTCCTAACAAGAAGTCTCCTTAAACTCACATGGGAAAAGGGGGGTCTCTCCCCATTGACCAGGTGCCTGTGGAGGCCCAGAAGCAGACGGAACTGAAGCTGGCCCTCCCGAGGCAGGGGCCTGGGCTCTCAGCCCACTGCGTTTCCTGTCTCACCCCCGGGACTGGGAGACTGCACAGTCTCAGGCCATCCTGGTGTGTCCTGAGCCAGAACTCTGGGTGGGGGTACTGAACACGCCCTGTAAGGGGGGAGATGAGGGCAAGAGAGAGAATGGTTCCCTGACCTCAGGAGGAGACACGAACTTGCAGACACACTCACGGCTGTGAAGAAACACACAAGGAAAGGGGTCCTCAAGCGCAGGGGCAGTGAGTGGCATTCCCAAGGGGACTGTGGCCCAGGGCTTCCCAGGGCACTGCTCTTTAGGCTGAACTTGCCCTACACACGGCCACGCCCCAGCAGCCCCAGAACATCCCCAAGAGATCAGGGCCACTCCCCACGTCCTGGACACTCAGTACTTGCCCTCCCCCTTGAATGGCCTCCACGACATGTGAGTTCCCTTCCCCCGACCCTCCTATTTACTTGTGCTTCTCCCATGGCACCTATCGCAGTGCTTGGCACGCCATACCCCTTACCAAATATCTGTTCCACCGAAAGACAGCTGAGCTGCTTCATTTAACTCAGGACAGACATAAGGAGGAAGTTGCAAAAGCCAACATAAGCTCAAGTCCACAACTGTGTATAGAGAGCATGCTACACGCACTGGCTCCACGCTCCCAGAGGGTTCTGGGTATGGCTGTGGGCAGGAGAAACCGGGAGAAACCCAGCATGGACTCCCAGGAAGCTCTGGTTCTCGAAGCACTTGGGAAAGTCTCGCTCCCTAAATGTTCTCAGGGTCCGGGAGGAGGCGGCCATTGAGGGAAGGCTCAGGTTCAAAGACATTCCCCTCAGAGAGGCTACTCACAGACCACCGTGCTGTTGACCACGTGGAACTGGTAGCCGCTCAGCAAGGGCTGGCAGCCCAGATGCTTCAGCTTCTCATAGCAGCAGTCGTGGGCCAGGCAGCACCTGGGGGCCAGACCAGAGGGGGAGGGGCTTTACCGTGGGTGGGCCCTGGGGGAAGGGGGTCAGCTGGAGGCCCTGGGTGCAAAGGACTCACCTGCCTCTTCCCCCCAGGACAAGAAGGTGCTGAAGATAAGGAGGTAAATTAATAATAATATTAAAAATAATATAAGTAACCACTGACCATTAGCTCCCCACACTAACCCTAGGAAGTGCCATCACTGTCCCCATTTCACAGGGGGCGGAAATGAGATTCGGAGGTGAATTTCCCAAAAGGACACAGCTGGAAAATGGCAGCTCCAGACTCAACTGTAGCTCTGTGTACTCATTCATTGTGCAGTGATTTTTTATGAGCACCTACTATATGCCAAGCACCGTGGTAGTCTCTGAGGAGCCGGTGGACAGCACAAACACCTAATGCTTCAGTGCTTGCTTTCATGGTGCTCAGAGTGACGGGGGGTAGGGGGATTTGAGGGGGGCAAAAAGGGAGGACATGTGAGGTGAGGAAAATTTGCTGGGGGGCTGCTCACTTCTTCAGCCAGTATATAAGGGGCAGGAATGCAGGTACCTGTCACGGATCTAAGACATGGAAAAGGAAATCCTTCTGCTGATGCCCTGGGCCAGACGCTTGTCTTCCCCTCTCCCCACCCCTGCCCACATGCAGTTCAAATCTGGGTCCACGAGGAGGCGGCCATTAAGGGAAGGCTCAGGTTCAAAGACATTCCCCACAGAGAGGCTGCTTGGTCTTAGACAAGCTCTTAGCTACCTGTCATCTCTGGCTAATAGTGTTATTTCTCATCTGTCTTTGAACTTGGACAAGGAGGGCACAGAACTTCAAATGGCCCAGGCTTTAGAACAGGCAAATTCTTGTCCAAATCCTGACTATTCCAAACTGGTCCTCGGATTCTCTCTCCTGGAATTTGGACTGGAAGGCAGCGGGTCAGTCTTGCTGCGCCCATAATCCTAAAAACCGGGGAGCTGGGAGAAGAGCACATTTGTTGTGAAAATTGAACGTGTTTCTAGAACTCTGAGCAGGATTGACTCCATAATTTGCAAGGCCTGGTGCCAAATGAAGACACAGGGGCTTGCAGGTGGGGCAGTCCTTGGGAATGCTGCACGGGCCACACGTGCAGGAAGTTGGCCCTGATCTTAAGCACCTTGAGATCATCCTCCAATTCCCATCCCGCTTTTTTCTCGCCCTCACCTGAATTGGTTTCTGTTACTTGCAATGCGGGATCCCTGACACACACCCTCCTTCAAACATAGATTTCAACGCAAATGAAATGCGGGGGTGGTGTCCTCACTCACCTGTCGGTGTTGTCCACGGGGGTCCCCTTGCCCCCGAGCCCACAGTAGCAGCCATATCCATAGTAGGAGAAGAAGGCACTCCGCCCTGTGATGTGCTTGACCATCCTCTGAAACTGCCAGAAGCTGCTGTGGGTGGGGGCTACCACTGCCAAGGAGAAAATCAGGAAGAGGAAACAATGCAATGAGAGCCTGGCATTCATAGGTCAGTGCTCAACCACTGAGCCACACCAGCCGGGCAAAAACATACTACTTTTAGTAGCAATACTAAATCTAGGCAATGGGATTGAGGAGGTAGGTGGGGAGAAAAACAGGCAACATTTTATTTTATATATTCCCGGGTGCATTTTCACTTTAAAAAATATATATTTTATTGATTTTTTTACAGAGAGGAAGGGAGAGAGATAGAGAGTTAGAAACTTTGAAAAGAGAGAAACATTAATCAGCTGATTCCTGCACACCCTCTAATGGGGATGTGCCTGCAACCAAGGTACATGCCCTTGACTGGAATCCAACCTGGGACCTTTCAGTCCACTGGCTGATGCTCTATCCTAGGGGTGTCGAACTCAATCAGAGAAGGGGCCAAAATCTAAAATCCAGCTTAAATCGCGGGCCGAATGGTTTACTGAACAGTCATAAACTGTCATTGTGATGGAAACGCAGCGGAGTGCAGTGATGACAGCGCAGTGCGGGCCACATTGCAAGGCCTGGCGGGACGGATTTGGCCTGTGGGCCTTGTGTTTGACACATGTGCTCTATCCACTGAGCCAAACCGGTTTTGGCTGCATTTTCACTTTTATGCTGTATGATTCTCTTTTATGATGCAAATGTCTAACTTTTCTGTTAAAGCGTGTTACATGCATGTGTGTGCAAAGTCCTAGAGGACAGACACCTGACTCTTTAAATGGTTGATCTGGGTGGAGAAGGCTTAGGGGCTGGGAGGCATGAGAAGGGGCTTTCCTTTGTTACTCTTCACTCACTTATTTTACATTTTAATTACATGCATATCTTAATTTTGCTGTAAAAATAAAGTATGAACTTGAAGAAGAAAAACAGAGTGAGAGGGTTTGGGAAAATTTTCCCAGGAGCCTTTCCATCTCATACTGAGATTTTGGATATCTTGTCACCACGCACCAAAGAGGGGCTGCAGCCTGGGGTGGTCACTGCTGTCCAAACGGCCCCCACAGAGAGACCAGAACCTTCTGGGCACACCACGGGGTGCAGAAGTGGCGCTGCCAGCACATGCCCCCCCCCCGCCCCACACACACACCGTGATCTTGAAAACTGTCAAGTCCACCGCTAAGAGAAAATGGGAATCCCATTTTGACATTTTGACTTAGGGACCCACAAGTTATTGCATTGCCACTGAAACAGAGAGGAAAACAGATTTAGACAAATCTTTACGAGTTTCCCATAGAACCACACTGTTTCTTGCACATTCTTTCACATCGCAGAGGTGTGCCATCTGACTTGCTGGGAGTGATGACTCATGATTACCAGCTACGCCATAAGTCACCAGAAGAATGCTTTTCTAATGGAAAGGAATTGTTTCTAAATTAGCTAGCTGGTCCTAACCGGTTTGGCTCAGTGGATAGAGCTTCGGCCTGCAGACTGAAGGGTCCCAGGTTCGATTCCAGTCAAGGACATGTACCTTGGTTGCAGGGGTGTACAGGAGTCAGCTGATCAATGTTTCCCTCTCATCGATGTTTCTAACTCTCTATTTCTCTCCCTTCCTCTTTGTAAAAAAATCAATAAAATATATTTTAAATAAAAATAAATAAATAATAAGCTAGCTGCATGTCTGTGGTTTTGTTCTAGAAGCCACACAATCTTAAATAAAGGCAACTAGCATCCTGAGGAAAGACTCCTGAAGGGGTGTGTGTGGTATGAGAGAGTCCAGCACCCTCTTTCTTAGCAAATGGTTGCAACCTTTGATTTTCCAGAAGTTTTGGGAAATCCTAACACTGGGATCAAGCAGGAGGACTTTGGTGGGAGCCTGTTCTGCCCCTGATTCTCTTTTGAGCGACAGCTGATATCCCCTCGCCTGATCCCACCTCAGGAGGGACTGCCCCACAGACACTCACACACAGGCGGGGAGGGGGGGAGGCATGGGGGGGGGGGGGGAGACAGTGTCCCAGAACTGCCCCGCTGCTCCCTACTTACAGCAGGACGTGAAGACCACGAGCACCCCGAGGACCTTCATTCCCGAGGGGACCAGGGGGTCGGAGGCACCGCGATCACAGCTTCCTCGGGTCGCCAGGGGGCAGCTAGGTGAGCGCCTGTTCAGGAGGAAATGACCAAATGAGATGAGTCCATGTGGACGCCAAACCCCAGCTGCAGGCCGACCTTGGAAGGCCTCAGAGGAGAGCCCAGAGCAGAGAGAACTCTTTAAACCCAGCCATCTCTAACATGACACTTTCTGGTAGTGAGACGCTAGTAAATATAAAGATTAAGAAGGCTTCATTTATTTAAAAAAGCACAAGTTTATGGTTTTTCAAACATGTCTTTCTTTGGCAACACTATCCCTTCATCTTGTTTTTCTTTTTCTTTTTCTCTTGAGGAGTCGGTATTTCCTCTATCCCCAAGTTTAAAGGCATGTATGTGGCCCATGACGGATTCCAGCTTGGGAAAGTCTAGCCCGTTTGCAAGGTAGCTAACCCCCACCCTGATACACACACACACACACACACACACACACACACACACGTTTACCTTCCTTGATGCCCAGGTATCTTATTCATCAACTTAGCCCCTAGGTTTCCTCTCCTTAAAGTGACACTATAAGTGCCTATCGATCATCTCCAACATTCATGAAGAAATGACTAAATGCCGGTGTTGTTTTCCTTGAAGGCTCCCAGGTATTCCATTATTTCATCCTCAGAAAACCTAGAGCAGCCTCACCATCATTTCAGAGATGGAGAAACGGAGGCCCAGAGAGTTTGAACAACGTCCTTGCTCTCCTCAGGCCCCTGACTGCACAGACTCATGGGGACCAACTGAAACAATGCAATAAACCTGCTTTGTGTTATCAAACACCGTGATAATACATTTATATTTTATATAATACATGATAATAGAGTGATGAGCATTGCTCTACTGATTGCACAATAAATGCCTTTGAGGTCAGAGGTAGGAAAAGTGAATTCACCTCCACAGGGAGGTGGCATTTGAGGGGGCCTGGATTTACCTTAAATGTGCATTCTGCTCCTATACACCCCTCACTACAACCCCACCCATCTGACAGTTGAGAAACCAGAGCACAGTGAGAAGTGACCTGAAAAAGATCCACATCGCTACCAAGGGACAGGGCTTAACCTCTGGTCACTGACTCCGCCCAGTGCTTTTGGCACCTCACCAGACCCCTGACGAGACCTTTTGTTTGAGTAGCATTTTGAAGGTCAACATTTTCACAGACACTGACCTTCACAGCATGACTTAGGCAGGACAGACATGGTTCTTGCCATCTGAGGAATCATTGCGGGAGTTTTGGATTGTGCTGAAACAAAACCAAGAGCCTACGGACTTGATGAAGGGCAAGAGCGTAGTAGGGAGCATGCATGGCCTCCTATGCCAGCCTCTAGGGCAATAGCCAACAAGTTGGCAGGTACTTAAGAGCTATCCCCAAAGACCCATCAATTCATCTTACATAGACAGTGATAAAACGTGGGTTGGCTTTTTCCCCACAGAGAAGATAAGGAGGAAGGAGCCTGAAGGATCTGCAAGTCAAGGCTCATTCCAATTTGTTCATCTCTTTATCCCTAAAACCTAACTAGCTCAGTGCCAAGGACAAACCAGCAATAACGGTAAGGGTGGGTAACATTTGCATCACACTCATTTTACACCCTGTACAGTTTCTGAGCACTTCACACATATCTACTCATTCTGTTCTCACATTGCCCAGCTAGGTAAGTTCTATTGTTTTCCTCATTCTGCAGATAAGGAAACTAGGCACAGAGAGATGGGCAGCAAATAAGTATTTGGGGAATGAATGAATGAGTGAATGAATGGATGGATGATCCGAGTACAATCATGCTTCAAGTCACAGAACTAAAAACAAAACCACACCCTACTGAGGACCAGCATAAGGCTGAGCACCATTGGACTATCTGATTGAATCCACTTGGAATAGTCCTGAGGGGGCACAGACAATCAGCCCCAGTTTATGGATAAGGAAATAGAGCTGGGGAGAGGCCAGGTGCTTTGCCCTGAAAACTGATGGAGCCAGAACTTAACCCAGGTGTGTCTGACTCCAAAGGTGGCGCCCCTCCCGCTTGGCAGTTCTCCTGTTTACCTGTGGGTCACCGAGCGACGGGCCGTACCTACCCAAAACACAACCAATGACCGAGCATCCAAGCAGCTGCCACAAGCTCTCCTCTCAGACACCATTCTAGCAACCCATCAGCAGCCTCTCTTTGCTCAGACACAGAAGTTAAATGGGGATGTAGGTCGAGTGGCTCCCCTTAGCAGAGAGGCAAAGGAGAGGGAGAAATGCTTAAAACGATAACTGATAAAGCCTGGGAGCCTGGGGACATTGAGTATAGGGGCAGATGGCTCTACCCACATCAACAGTACTGCTCCCGGAGCACAATGACAGACTTTGTGTCATCCAGAAAAGGTTTCATTTTGACAGAGACTGCAAAGGTGGAAAGCACATAAGCTCCTGCCTTCAGCCCAGCCTGGGGGGAGGTCATTTAGACTGCAAGCATCCAGATATCCTTGGGGTGGGGAGGATTCCAACTAGTGGCTTGCTAGATCTCTCAAGAGGAAAGCCAGCCGTGGGGTTGGCATCACCATCATTATTCATTGAATTCTCATTTTCCAAGCACCTATTTTCATCATCTCCACACAGCGATCCTATTCTTATCATCTCCATTCTACAGATGTGGAAATGGAGGCCCCTAGAAGGTAAACCAGTTACCCCAGGTTCTCAACCAAGATTCAGAGTTGACCACAGTGTCCATGCCTGCAACACCTATGATGGTCCCATCGGTGGATACAGATGAAGTGCCAGGCATGAAGATGAGAGGAGCTAATCTGATGGTGAGGGTGCACGGTGCTACCATCTTGGTTGGGCATGTTCTACTGGACCAAAAGGGACCCAAAATGGCCCATGAAGTCTGAAGAGAGAGACGGTGTTCCAGAAAAGTCTGCATGAAAGAGGTGACTTTTAAGATGAGCCTCGAAGGGATCAGCAAATTTGAACTAACTTCCAGGAATAAAGCAGGGTGGGGTAGGCATGAGAAAAGACCCTAGAGATGAAAAGGCCAAGGGCCCAGGTTTCCTTTTGGGAAACCAGTTGGCTGGAGCTCAGGGAGAGAACTGGGGAGTAGCGGGAACCATGGCTGGGAAGGAGAGAGTCTACCTGGAGTTGGCATGGCGGTGACCTCTGGCCACGTGCCTGAGAACCCACTTCGCAGGTGGGAACTACAGGGTCCGTCCTTTGCGGACACCTTCTTTAAAGAAAGGTGAGAAAGAGGCAGCTGTCTCCTTAAAGAGCACGCAGGCACAGCAACCACCTGGCCAGCTGCCTTTCCTTCCCTCCAGCCTCTCTCTCATTTCATGCTGTGCATTACATGACATCGGAGAGCAAAAGACACTGCAAATATTAAACAGACCTAGGCACAAGCACCATTTCACTGCCTGCCCACGTGGGCATGCACACACACACACACACACATACACACACGCACACACACACTCAAAGGGGGCGAGAAGCCAATTTGATTTTCCAAAAGATTGCATAATTCCTAGGTGATATTAAAATAGCTGATGAAGAATTCACTTTAATCTTTCTTGGGTGGGTGTTGCAGGGCTGAAGCGCATTGCTGAGCTATTTCTGACAGAATCATATACAGGAAAGAAGCCACCAGCCCAGAGTTGCAAACCTTTATCAGCTCCTATAGCTGCCACCTCCTGCACCTTCTGGGGGCCTTAGACCTCTCCCTGAGTGTCCAGGATGGGGGATGAGGTGACCATAGCAGCAAGTCTGCCCAGCCCCAGCCCAGGCCTTCACCTCCCACTTGAGGCGCTTCCTGAGATGGGCAGAAACACCACTGCTGCAAGGATTACCTCCTTCGCAGACCCAGAGACCTGCCAGTGCCAAGTGCTTAGCACATAATCATGTCCAGCCTGTGCCTGCTCTTCCACACTTGGCTCCAACTGTATTGAAAATCATCAATCTCATTTGTCACTCTCTGGGGGTCTTCTCAACCCAACGGAAACATCTTGAGGAGGGCTGGAGTCATGCTCATGTAGCAAATATTTTGCCACCGGGCTGGGTAATGAATCCCAATTTCCTCCTCTGATACGGTTCTTGAATATCTACTAACATTGCCTTTTACTATGATAGTCACTACGTTATTCACCTGCATATTCCAAGAGTCTAGAACAGTGTCTGGCAGACCAGAGCCCCGACAGGACTCCTTCTGAAGCTTTCTTCATTCCATCGTGGAAGAAAGACGACTTCACCCATGGAGCTCTGAAGGGTAAGGGAGCGTTAGGTAAAGGAAAGGAAGGGGGTGGGGGGAGCTTGGAGAAGAATCTTCTAAGCAGAGGGAACAGCAGAAGCAACGTCCTGCCTTGTGATGAGGGTGTGCATTCGTGTGGCCTGTGACGGAGAACAGGCCTCTGGGAAGTCCTGGAGGAGCCGTCCGTTTTGGACAGAATCAGAGGGTGGATCCCCTGCATTGAAACAGGAGGGAGAGGGGAAAGCAGGGAGACAAAAGGAGACAAGTTGGTAGGGCTGATGGCAGAAAGCTGAGAACAGTTCCACCTGATGGCTTCTATTGTCTCTCTGAAGAGAGAAGGAAGTTTGCCTTCTGAGTGGGAGGAGGGAGCTTTCAGGAGAGAGAACAGGTTTGAAACAGCCAGGGCCCAGAAAGGAGACAGCACAGGGCGGGGGAAAGTGGAATGATTTCTGCGTGGGCTGAGGCTTTCATGGAGGCTGGAGATCATCCCGTTATTCAATGTAATGTGGCCGGTCAAGATCTCTTCCCTGGCCAGGTGTCAGCGAGCTGACTGAGGCTTCGGCGAGTGGGAGGAATGGAGAGACAGCAGACAGGGCCTAGAGGATTCTTGCAAGAAAAACAACTGGGGGGGATGGACCAGGGAAGGAGCAGGTTGTGAGGCAGGGGGAAAGCAGAGGGGGCAATGGGCGGAGCCTCCATGATGTGGAAAGACAAACCAGTAGGAGCTGCTGGAAGTGTCAGAGGTCATCATCAGGAAGGACAAAGCAAGAAGTACAATGTCGTTGAAAACAAGGTCCCAGCTTGGATGTGGACATGAGGAGGTCTGGGATCTGGTTTGGAAAGAGTTGCACCGAGGACAGCGAAGGCAGACGAGAGTGCTCCCCAACTCAGACAGATGCCTTGAGAGCAGCCCCTCAGATTCTGGGTTCACCAGACATTAGTGAGTGCAGCAGCCTCATCTAAACACTGGGGACACTGGCAGGGTCAGGCCTGACTCAAGGTCACAAACCCGGGCTAGAGGCAGCGGGCCGCTCTGCAGGGCCAGCCCAGGGCAGAGCCAGGCGCTCACCTCCCCGCGGAGATGGGAACCAGGCAGAAAGGCAGGTGAGATCCTCTCCAGGTCCGCCTCCTCCGCCTCCGCCCAGCACCTGGCCCCCAACCCCTTCACCCCCTCTTCAGGGCCTGGCCTATTCCGGGGCCAGACCGGAAGCACGTGGCCCCCCACCAGCTCGGTTGCCCGGGAGACCCGGGCTGTTTACCAGCGGGACAGAGCCCGCTGCTGCGCGGATGGAGCGGAGAGGAGAGGTGAGCATGGCCCCTGCCGGCCCAGAGAGCCAGCGCACAGCCCCTGCAGCCTGAAAGGGAAGGGGGAGGCCAGACCCGAGCCCCCCACACGTTGCCCAGGCGGGCTCCACCTCCCCAAGCCGGACTGGGAGAACCCTGGGAGATAAGGGCAGGGGCCCTGAGAGTGGAGGCTACGCCCCAGTGCCAAAGCCAGCCCGGCCGGAGCTCACCGTTGCTGGAAGACACCACTCCGGGGCTCTGCGGCAGCCGAGGGGCCTAGGGAACCGTTGGGCCATGCCCTCCTGGTTGGGCAGGACAGACAGGACACAGATCCAGAGGGACAGAAGGACATCCCGTCACATGGAGAGGCCGGAACCAGCTCTGAGCCTCCCCCAGACCAAGTGCTCTTTCACCCAAGTCAGCTCTCACTTTCTGCAAGTTCTTCCTGGCCCCTCCCCATCCCCTCTGCCAGCTGCTGAGGCTGGTTTCCCTCTGGAGCTGCCCCCCACCTACCCATTCCCCTGGGAGTCATCCCCAGTTCCTTTTCCAAACCTTTGATCCCTTGGTGGCTTGTGGTCCAACCTCTCCACGCCCCCTTTTCACACGTGGCTTTCTGCACGGGACAGCGTATTCCAATCATGAGCCCTGGTGAGAACAGGGAATGGTCTCAAAGCTTTCTCACGCTCAGGCCAACTGCCATCTCCTGCTGGCTCTTCTGAGCGGTTTCATCCAGAAAGCATCGCGAGGAGGGGTGGGAATTGGCAGGGGGAGAGTATTAACTGATAAATATTTTTAAAAGACCGGTTCACAAGTAGGCACCCTACGTACATCCCAGCAGGCGGTACGTGGGTGGTCATATTTTATCGCACTTACCGTCAATTTAGATTTGGGCTGTGAGTGCAAGAGGGTGGTCTGACCCCGTGGTGGGTGGAAGGGAGGCGGGCCCGGGGAAAGCAGGAATGTGGCCACAGCTTCTCCTGGGGCGGTTTCCTTCCTTCTGGTTGGCTTGGCGATTAATCTTAAGGAATGCGCACCTGCCCTTTTGGCAGCTCCTTGGAAGCCATTCTCAGTGTTTGTTTCCCGACTCCTAGCAGGCCTCTGGACCAGACGGTATGTTTACGGAAACAGGCCACTTGCCGACACAGACACAGCCGGCAGCTTGATGGATGTGCCTACGCCCAGATCTTGTCAAGTCACTTGGTGGTTGTGTCTGCCAGGCCTAGAGGTGGTGAAGTGAGCCGAGAGGGGATAATGACGGGTGCCACACAACCCTTTCTTGACTGAGCGGGGCAGGCAGCGCCTCTGGATGCGAGGTGTGAATAGAAAGGCATGAAGTTGGCCCTGATCCCTGCACACCTGCCCGCCCCACCTCCCCTCTCCATGTCCTCGATGCCAGGGAGAGTTGGTGTTCCCGCCACGTGGCAGATGGTCCCTGCACTCGGGAGGAGGCAGTGGGTTATGAAAGCAGGTTCAATGGAATGATTTTACCTGAAGGAGGTGTTAAATCTCTAAATAACCACGAGTGGGCTTATGGGAATTAGTCACCACCAAGGTTGTGCTCTGAGATAGCTCGCAGTCATGGTAGCTTATGACCAGCGTGTCTTGACTATGACACCCCCTGAACATGGATAATTATATGGTGCCAGGAGGTGTAGAAAGTGCAGGCACAGACTCCAGCTTTACTGTTAAAAATAATCCAGCAACAGAGCGCCCGGGAGGCCGCATGACTCTGCTCGCCCAAGTTGTTAAGGAAGAGGTTTCTAAGTTACCAAGCTCCCTGACAGTAAAGCCTTCTCCAGGCATGTGTGGGAGCTGGGAGCCAAGCCTGTGATAACTCCGTGGAAGCTGTGGCAAATTAATAGCCATCCCGCGAGGGGGAGAGATGGGCAGAGAGGGGGCATAGTGTGCCTGTTGAGCTTATCTTTGGCAGAGCACTTGGACAATCATGACCTCCTCGCGCTGCCCTGAGTTAAAGTGCAGAATTGCTTAATTACAAGTGAAAGACGTTAGAACTAAACTAAAAGGTGGCGGGGGGGAAGAACCCAACACATTCCTCGCAGTTGATCAGAAAATTATGGAGACGGGCAGGCTGTGTTGATGCCAAGGAGAAGGCTCCTGAACTCCCAGCCGCCAGATTGGGTGTGAAAGCCGAGTGAGAAGTGGGAAGTGGGGGTGTTTGGAAGACTGGGCTTGTGAGCAGAATGGAGAAAAGACAGAGGCTGTTAAGTAGAGAGAGAGGGGGGGTAGCTTTGCTCAAGACTTTGCACCGAGTAGGACTTCAGGAAGGTGCAGGGATGGCATGTTTTGTCCGGTTGTGGTTTGAATGGAGAGGAAGAGGAGGCTCTCTGAAAATAGGCCACAGTGGCAGTGCCCACAGAACGTATCGGTTGCTCAGGGTTCGGTGATGAGGGTAGCATGGAGTAAGTGAACTTGAAGTATCTAAGATTAGAGCTTAGAGTGAGAAGGGATTTATTAGAAAACATTGATCTCATATTGATCTCATATGTGTGAGGCAATTTCAATAGGTGGTAGCCCGCTGAAATCCACCTCCTGGCATTTCTGTGCAGTGGGCGGGGCAGGCACGAGTCCCAACTCAGTGGTCGGCAAACTCATTAGTCAACAGAGGCAAATATCAACAGGACAACGATGGAAATTTCTTTGGAGAGCCACATTTTTTAAACTTAAACTTCTTCTAACACCACTTCTTCAAAATAGGCTCGCCCAGGTCATGGTATTTTGCAAAAGAGCCACACTCAAGGGGCCAAAGAGCCCCATGTGGTTCGCGAGCCGCAGTTTGCCGACCGTGGACCCAGCTGGTTAGAGATGACTACACTCCAGGGAAGAGCCCCGAAGCAACAGGCAAGGCGATTGGGCCTAAAATAATAAAAGCACGAAACCCAACAGAAAACCAACAGCAAAGAAACCCCTTAATCATTTAATTAAATCTTCCCTTTGCACCAAGCCCGGTGATCACGGCTTTATCTACATTATTTCATGTCACTAGCTTCATGTTTCAGATAAAGAGGCAGACCCAGAAGTATTTAAAGAATGCCTTCAGGGTCAAATAGCTCATTCCATCGATGTGGAAAGTGCCATACTCGCGGGATGAAGCCACTGCCTGTGGTCGTATCGCTAGCTAGAGACAGAGCCTGAAATAGAACCCAGGTCTTGGACTCTAGGGCGCGTGTCCTGTGCAGCCAAACGTGCTGCTGCTCAGGGACCACGAGGAACCAGGAGGTTGCCAGGCCTTTAGAGGGATGGGCAGCCTGTGGCAGAGAGGACAGCAGTCACAGTGGTAGCCAGGATTCGGAGGGAGGCAGGAGCCCAAGACCTAGCAGTGTCCTGGGAAGAAGTGACCGGGGACCAGCAGGAGGAGGTGGCTGTGACTGTGCTAGTGAAAAGGCCACCAAGATGGCCAGGAAAGAAGGAAAAACCTGACTAAACCAGTTTGGCTCAGTGGATAGAGCGTCGGTCTGCAGACTCAAGGGTCCCAGGTTCGATTCCAGTCAAGGACATGTACATTGGTTGCAGGCACATCCCCGGTGGGGGGGGGTGCAGGAGGCAGCTGGTTGGTGTTTCTCTCTCATCGATGTTTCTAGCTCTCTATCCCTCTCCCTTCCTCTCTGTAAAAATTCAATAAAATATATTAAAAAAAAAAAGAAAAAAAAAAGAAGGGAAAACCTGATTTGGCGGTTGTGGGCCACACAGAGAAATGCTCCCACCTCCCACCGTGCGCAGGCACCCCGCTCCTGTGAGCTTTTGTGGGCACTCCTGAGCACCTCAGGTGCCAGACACACATACAAGTGTTTGTGTGTAACCTCTAAGTGTTTGCGAGGTAGCTGGGGAGACAGGAGCGTTAACAGCAAGAGACAGAATGTGGTCGCAGGCCTGGGTTCTGTTTCAGGTGCGGCTGCTCGCTGGCCGTGACCCCGGGGCAGTGGCTCCGCCTCTCTGGCTCCCCTGTCTGTAGGACCAGCTTGGGCCCAGAGTCCCCTTCACCATTGGTCTAGGACAGTGTTTGTTCATGACGGCGTGCGGGCCAGATCTGACCCACTGCCACGTTTCTGTGTGACTCGTGATCCAAGAAGAGCTTTTAGACTTTTAGGCATTTGGGGGGAAAAAGAAATCAAAAGAAGAATACTATTCTGTGTCACACGAGAACTATGTGAAATTCAAATTTCTGTGTCCGCACAGGAAGGTTTATTTAAATACAGCCACACCCGCTCATTTGCATTTGGTGGAGCTGGGTATTTGTGACACACAGTCTGAAAATGTTTACTATCTGCCCTTGTACAGAAGAGGTTAGCTGGGCCCTAATCTAGAACTCGAGGACGCCCCTGTAAGTTCTGGCCCATGGGTGGGTCAGCAATGGGGCCGCCCCCTCCTCTCCCTCCGCCCCTGCTGACAAGGGTTGGGGTGTTGGAGGGACAGTGCACTGGATGACAAGACAGTAGGAAGGAAAAGCAATGGGCAGATGGGTCAAGAGGAAAAGGACTGAGAGAGAAAGGGCAGTGGGGAGTCACAGAGGGTGGCTCGTCCACAGTGAATACTGGACCAGCGCTAACCACTGTCCCCCATGTGGGGACGCCCTCTAACAGCGTGCAGGGGAAGTTGGCTGGTCTGCCCCTCAGCTCTTGCGTGAAGCTGAGCCTGGCTCTCCTGGGCGGTGACTTAACAGGGCTACATCCGCTCTTTAGAGCACCGCGGCTTCGCATAGTCGTGTGTGGCTGATTCTGTGCTACAACGGCAGGGCGAAGGAGCTGGGACAGAGACCATGTGGTTCCCAAAGCCAGAAGAACTGATGGAAAAAGGTAGCCGACCCCTGGTCTAGGTTGTAACATGGCCCGTTCCTTCTCAACATGGTCTCTCAGCTTAACGGTTCCCCCAATTAAGAATCAGAATTAGTCCCCACCCTAGTCACTCTCTGATGGAATACTTTATCTTCTTCATTGCAGTTATCACTCTTTGAAAATAGCTGTTTACATCTAGGCTTAACACTTGTCTTTTCTCACTGTAACAATATAAGCTGCAAGGATTTTGGTTCACTGATATAGTCCGATACCTGAATGAATGAATGAATGAATGAATGAATGAATGAAGAGTGTGTAAGTGAATGAATGAATTGCAGCTGGTGCCCCTCCCCTTTGTGGCCAGTTGGCTTATTCTGGCATCTGGGGAGCGAGGGGATCCAGAAGTGCCAGGGCATTTAACTCACGGCCTCCTCTCTTTCCTCCTCTCCTGTAGGGGTCTTGAGAAGCAATGGCCACAGAAGCCCCTGTGAACAGAGCCCTCCCTGAAGGCAGCACGGTGGTCAGCACTGCAGCCGAGCGCTTCATCTGGCAGCCAGACTCGCTGAGCATGCACGTCATAAGGCCCAAGTCCGCCAAGGGCCGCTCGCGGCCGAGGCTACACCAACCCCAGGACGCGGGGGTGTGCTCTCACCGCACGCCACCTTCCCCGCAGCCAGCCATTCCCTGCGAGTCGCTGAGCAGCCAGAAGCCAGGAGCCTGTGCCCCCAGGTCCCCGATCCAGGGCGCTCCCCACGAGGTCCCCGAGCTGCTGCAACAGGTGCCCATGGGTGCTTCCTCCTCCCTCAATAAGTACCCGGTCCTTCCCTCCATCAACAGGAAGACCCTGGGGGAGGCGGGCGTGGAAACCGTTGCTCCGAGGGCCGGCTCCCTGCAACTGAGCAGCCTCCAGGCTCTTTACCAGGAGGAGGCCGGCACCACGAAGACCAGCCAAGAAGATTCCAGAGCTGCAGCTCAGTTCCTGGAGAGGAAGCTCAGGAGACAGAGCTGCTCCAGGGCCGGAGACCTGCAGGAGCCATCCGATCAAGAGCCGAGGCTGCTGCTTGCCGTCAGGTCCCCATCGGGCCGAAGGTTCGTTCGCCATTTCCGGCCCACGGATGACCTGCAGACCATCGTGGCCGTGGCCGAGCACAAGAACAAGGCCACCTACCGCCACTGCAGCATCGAAACGATGGAGGTGCCCAGGAGGCGTTTCTCCGACCTCACCAAGTCTCTGCAGGAGTGCAGGATCCCTCACAAGTCGGTGCTGGGCATCTCGCAGGGAGACGACGGGGAGCGGAGGGTCTGAGTCCACAGCCACCCAGCCAGGGTCCCGGGTCTCTGAGCAAGGAGCATGCTCAGGGGCCAGGGCCTCCCAGGCCGGTGGTTCCAAGTGCCACGTGAGCCTCAAGCAGCGGTGATTCTTGGGACTCGCGTCTTCCCAGCGTCTCCCTTTAAGCAGTGAGATCTGTACCTGCACCAAGTGCACCAAGAAGATTCTCTCCGGTTGTTCGATTCTCTCCACCCCTGGAGTGAACTGGTCAGTGACCAGGGTGGTTCCTGCAACAGCGTGGACAGGCCTTCTCCTTCCCAGCGGTTTGGGACCTTCCTGGAGCACCTGCTCGCCTTTACAATGATCTCTCTCTCTCTTTCTCTCTCTCTCTTTCTCTCTCTCTCTCAACTCTCTCTCTCTCTGCCAATGGTTTGCCCTTCTGTATTTGATGCAAGATTAAACACTTCCCAGAGAGGATTCTAGCCTGGTAAATAACCAGGGTTCAGGAAATGTCCAGCTGGCATTTGTCTTTCTTGCAAAGTATTTTCAGAAACAGGTGGTGACCCTGAGTTGGAAGCAGCCCCTCCACTGGGCTCCGGTGGCCAGACTCTCCTGGGGGTTTTGGTGTGTGAGAGGCAGCTGCGGAGGAAAGAATGGGACTTCGGCTAGTACACCTCTCCCACTACTGTGTCTAAACACCTGGGAGCTGGAAAGCAAATCGCCAGTCGATGAGCCTGTAGCTGCCTTGGAACGAAGACTGACCAGAGTTAACATCTTTTGGTAGCTACTCTCTGAGTGCAGAATTCTTCCAAAACTGGGAAAAGCCAGTGTGATCTGATTTTCTTAGTCCACATGTGTCAAACACAAGGCCCGCGGGCCAAATCCGTCCCGCCAGGCCTTGCAATGTGGCCCACACCGCGCTGTCATCACTGCACTCCGCTGCGTTTCCATCACAATGACAGTTTATGACTGTTCAGTAAACGATTCGGCCCGCGATTTAGGCTGGATTTTAGATTTTGGCCCCTTCTCTGATTGAGTTCGACACCCCTATCTTAGTCAGTAATGAGCCTTTGGTTTTGTAATGGCATAAACCTACAAGTCTACAGGTTTGTTCCAACCGCCGCCCGTTTATCGGGGTGTGGATGCACTGTTTTACCCCCCATCCCCCAGTTTCAGTGTCCTGCCTTCTCCAAACACAGAGGCTCCAGCGGTGCCCCTGTTCTCTGACTTAGGACCCCCCGAAGGGGGTGGGCCCCTGGGCTCCGTGTGACATGTGGTGCCTGTGCCGAGAGACCATGTGTCCCCGTGTCTGGCTGATTGGCATGAGGCACTTCTGACCGCCTTAGCCTGTCGCTGTGTTAAAGCCACAGAGTCTTATTTTTCCAACTCTGAGTGGTGACACGGACGATTTGCCAAAGTTCTCTGGCATTGCTAGTTTAGCGAGACTCCCACGTCTCATCTGGGTCCCCTTTGTGGCCAAATCACTCCTCAGAGTAGGGAAACGTGTCCCCCGCACCCAACCCTCAACAACCCCCTCCCTACCTTGCCCGCCCCCCCCGCCCGCCCCCGAGCCTGGCCACCCACCGGGAAGCCCTGAGAACTCACATGCACGCACAAAAGGCAAGAGTTCTAGAAGCAGGTCATTGTTGCTGCTTGCACAGCAAGGGCTTCTTGGGCATCGATAAGAAATGTGGTTGGGAACGTGACCTCCAGCAAATCGATACTTAGTCGCTGAGATCAGCGCCATTAATCACTTCTTCCAAAGAAGGCTCGCCTTGTCCTCACCGCACCCCACCCGGCAGGACAATCTATTGTAGAATAGGTGGCAACATTTCTTAAGACCATCGGGGCCTGGTCGGCAGCTCCTCTAGGCAGCTCCAAGGTCAGCTGGGGCTGCAGTGCCTGAGGCGGCCCGTGCAACTGGCCGGGTCTCCCAATCACCGAGCAGGGGCTGGAGCCTGGGGCCTGCGGTCCAGGAGTTTCCCCTCCGACCCAGGGCTCCAGTACACAACTGTGCCTTTGATCCAGCAGGCGGGCAGGGTGAAGTGGGGTTGGGGGGAGGGGAGTGGAAGCACCTCCCGCTTCCCATGAAATCACACCTGCTCTGTGGTAAGAATAAGATGCCACCCACCTGGGACTCGGGAATTTCTCCAGGCAGGAAATCCTGAGAAGGCTTCCGTGAAACGGGGCATGCGCAAAGCTGTCAGAGCCTTCCGCACGTAGGGTTTTGCTGCTGCTATCTAGCTTAGGGTTTTTGGGGTGGTGAGAAAATATGGAAGGCAGGAAATATTTTAAGATAGATGAATGACGCTAGAGTTGAACCAGCTTAATACACTTCTGTTTTGGACAAGCGATGATGACTCTGACAATAAAACAGATTTGTGTGAAACTGAGTCGATGGACAAGCGCATCTTCTATTCTAGCCCGAGACTCCGGGTGCCACACTCTGGTGGACAGAGGGTTTTGTAAACCTGGCCTTCAGCTTTCTCCTTGGTAAAGCACTTGGCTCTGCTCCAAGTCCTCATTCCCCCCCCCCCCATGTCTCCTCCCCCTCCCAAAGCTCTTGCTGTCAGCTTCTATCACAGCACGAAGCTGGTCTGCATGGACAATCTATGAGTTTCTCCCAGAAATCGGCCCACGCTCTCCTGGAGGTTGGTGAGAGCGGACTATCTCAGGATTTCAGAGCAGGCAAGGCTCTGCGTGTGGCATTGCCCATAGGGGCTGTGGCCTAAGGGGCTAAGCCGGGCCCAGGGCACCCCTCTTGGTGGCCCTGGGTAGGTCTGCCTTGCCCACCTTCATCCCAGACCCTAGTCATTCATGTAAGCAACTGAATTGCTGGCGGGTTAGGCCACTCTTGGTGACTGGCCATTGGCACCCTAGCAAGAGACCATGGGCAAGAAGACATGGAACCACCCATAGACTCTGAAGTCAGCCGCTTGGGTGTTCTCCCATGTGAGGACCCACGTGAGGCTCAGGCTGGATGGCCGCGATGACCTCTCCCCACCTCGTGGAAATGCAAATGCCACTCTCGCCAGTTTCTAGCAATGGCGCTAGGAAGCAGGCTCCTGAGGGACGTGAACCTTGCATAGGACAAAGCTTCATGGCAAGGTCTGCCCGTCTATCCCCCGACGGCGTCCAAGAGGCAAATTAGTCCCGGCAGCAGAAGGAACAGCAGGAGAAACGAGTGACTCATCATTTAGAATCCAAAACATTTTCGCCGACAGATGGCAGGTGGTTCTCACAACAGCCCTTGCCCTGAAAGTACCTGGGGACGCAGCCAACAGCAGCCGGGCCGGAGCAGCCCTGCCGAAGAGGCGGCCTGTGAACGTGACCCTGGGCCGGCAGCCGCCCAGCGCTCCCACAGAAAGCATGGCGCAGACAAAGACGCTCAGATGGGCCCCACAGCCCGTGGTCTGGTGACTGATCGCTATCAGGCGGGACAAAGGCAGGCATCCCACAAGCGAAACTCCGCTTTGGTTCATGCACTTTTCTGCCATTTTCAGTGGGTTTCAGGGTCAAATGCAGGCCTGTCCCAAGAGGCAGAAAAAGTCCCTCTCTCCAGAATGTTTTATATTAAATTGGGACATAAAGGCCTTCATAATCCATTGAGATAAAAGGGTGTGCCGGTTTCTGCGCTTTGGGGCATAGTTTAGAGGAGCCTTTTGCATGATAAGAGGATCTACCTTTTGAACAAAAAGTGGTGAGAAAATGAGCTTATTTTAAGCATGAGTTTGGAGATCATTCTGAGAGCGAAGCAGGAGCATCTGTTTTCTTAGTTCACCGGGGCAGCACACCACCACACGGTGAGAAGTTTGGGAGCCTGTTTTCCCGAAACCAGACCCAGCCAAACCCCGCCATACCCGCCGAGGAGGGCAGAGGCCACCGCGGGGGAGTTCGCAATCCGAGGGGAGCAGGCTCTCGGTGACTCATGGATGCACAAGACAGTCGCTCACATTATAAAAATAAAATTGGCTGCTTCATTTTGTGGCTCCGCTGGGGATGACATTTTCCTTTCCTGATCTGGGCAGTTTCTGCCAGTCCTTTCTGACGCCCCTCTGTGTTCCTCCATCTTCAAATGGCCCGGGAAGCAGCCGCGCTCCTGGGCGGCCGCTGTGGAAGGACAGAGCTCCGCAGGGCTGTGTTGGAGCCGCTTAAATCCTCTCCAAAGAGGCTGAACGACTGAGGTGACAGCCACCAACCGGGATGACTGAAGAAGCCTCGCTCTGCGACCCGGCTGCCATGCTCAGTGGGCTGTGGGGTCAGAGGGGAAAATGGAAGACCAATTGCCGCTCAGACAGTAATCAAGGAGATGCTGGGGGCAGGAGCCAGGGGAGGAATCGTAGCTGTCATGGGACATAGAATCTTCTTTTTCTTTCTTTCTTTTTTTTAAAAAAAATATTTTTATTAATTTCAGAGAGGAAGGGAGATAGGGAGAGAAACATCAATAAGGAGAGAGAATCATTGATCGGCTGCCTCCTGCACACCCCACACTGGGGATCGAGCCACAACCCAGGTATATGCCCTTGACCAGACCACAGGCCTTTTTATAATACAGGAGAGGAAGGGAGAAGGAGAGACAGAGAAAAACATCAATGATGAGAGAGAATCATTGATGGGCTGCCTCCAGCACGCCCCACACTGGGATCGAGCCCATAACCCAGGCATGTGCCCTGCCCAGGAATCACACCGTGACCTCCTGGTTCTTTGGTCGACATTCAACCACTGGCCATGCCAGCCAGGAGAATCTGTTTCCTTAAGGGGGAAAGAAGAGCAAGGCGCTTGATGAGGTGGGATGTACTCAAGTGGACTCAGCTGACCACGTCACCAGGGTGGACTGTTTCTGCAAAAACAAAGGTAACACGACAGAAACCAGACACACAGGGAGGGCGGGGAGCGGGACTCCCCAGGAGTTTCCCTCCACGGAAAGGAAATGCATGAATGAGCTTGGACAAGGCGCACAGAGAGTCCCAAAGCTACTCCTCGCTTTAAGAAGAGATGCAACTAAAAAGGTCGCTGTTGCACTTAATGTGTAGGTTAAACAAAGTCAATTACCGTCCACCTCTCCGGGTATGAGTGCTGACCAAGGTCACTGGAAAAGAAATCCTTGTTCCAGTGAATTGGCACATTGTTTAGACCTCCCTCTCCCCTCCTCCCCTGCCTCCTTTCTAGTCATTCCAACCCAGCAGCCCATTTCTGATGCATTTTTTTTTTTTTCCGTTGGAGGACAAACAAAACCACTGTCCTTTGGCCTAACAAAGCTCCTAGTTTCATAATTGTCATGCCCACCAGTTCTTTACAATAAGGACGTCTGTGCAGTTTGTGACTGGCCGAAACCGCCTCTGACATCTGTCCTCTGACGGAGAGGTGGGGAGAACCGGCGACAGGCAGCCTGGGCCTGCTCTGGCCGCAGCCCTGAGAACGGCAGTGGCCAGCCTCCTGCAGGCCTGCCATGGGAGCGTGGAGGCAACTCTCACTCTCCCACCTGGGAAATACAGACGGGAAACCGCCTGCACCGACCCTGGGATACGGCAGTGTCAGAACAGACCAGCCTGCTCTGGCTGGTTTGGCTCAGTGGATAGAGCACGGGCCTGCAGACTGAAGGGTCCCAGGTTTGATTCCGGTCCAGGGCATATACCTTGGTTGCAGGCACATCCCCAGTAGGGAGTGTGCAGGAGGCAGCCTATCAATTACCGTATGTTTTTCTCTCTTTCTCCCTCCCCTTTCCTCTCTGAAATAAATAAAACTATATTTAAAAATCAAACAAACAACAACAACAACAAAAAAACACGAGGTGTCAATGGTTCCAGACTGTAGAGGGTTTGTTTGTTTCCCAACCCCAGGC